GAAGTAGGGTGTTTGTCATAAGGATATTATCTCCTCATGAGCTAAGGCCCCATTCACATTAATGCATATTCGAGTCGTTTTTGTTGTGGATGCAGTGTTCGTCCATACTAATGTGATGAAAAATGGCTAGAGGCGGAATGATCTGGTGCCTCTGAGTATGGACCTGATCCGGCACTGTGTGGATGCCTGAAAATGTTGATACGCTGACATAGGAGCTGTAGTTGCATCCTTATCGGACCACGTCACTGTGACTTGTGCCTGCGTGATTCGCTTGGTTTGTGCCATCGGTCGTGTGACGCTATTGCAGAAAACAGTTTAAACAAACCAGAGAGAAACAGGAAACAGCAGAGCTAGAACTACTTACTCAGAACAGACTCACCATTAGCAGAACACCCCTTTGACACAGAAAGAACACATATATTTCACTGAGTTGTGTCCTTTAGTCCGACAGAAGCTGAACCGCATCAGGGCACAAGAGCGCTTAGTTTATGCAAATGAACCATGTGGTTTTAAGTTTAATTTCTGTAAAATGTAAACAAATATGCACAAAACTGTGTGGATAGGGAAGGCTTGCGGACACAGAAACGACTGTCTGGACGCAAAACATTTTCGATACGGTGATACAGTGATTAATTTCAGTGTAAAAATAACATCAGACACCAGCTTCTGAGGTGATTGGTTAAGAGGTAAACATCATGTAATCTGATTGATTGACAGACAGGAGACAGGTGGTAAATTTCGTTAAACTGCGGATGCCCAGATAATTTGGCGCAAGTGTATATATAGAGAGGCATCAGTCGTCAGACTTTCACTTCATACTCTACTGCGCAAGTCTCCTGCAGAAAGAGCCAGTGTCCTGTCTGGTATCATGTCAGTGTCCTGGGGGATTTCAGCGGATTTCAGACTTGGGGGCAGGGATTGGTGTATCATCAGGTATGAGTGGATGTCCAGCTACTGGAGTTTGAGACATACTGGTTTCTTCTCATCATTTACGCACTCAAACAAATAATCTGCCTATACTATCTATACTTTGGACAAAATTAATTCAATCAACTTTAGTATTGGAGTTGAAAATGTTTAACTGATAAAGACTTGCTTAAAGCTCATGAAGATTTTGTTTTTACACTGTTAATAAACAAAAAATGGAGCAGAGCTGAGTAAAATTTGACTTTATAAGTAAAACAGCTGCTTTGATATCTTATTATAGTCAAATACAATCATTTTTGTTTCTCTTTCTAAGATTAAACTAGGTGTCAAAATCAGGCAATGACATATGACTGCAGAAAGCTCCTCTATGACAGTCTGAGAAAGATTTGAAAAATGCCAGTTGAGCCAGATTACTGAACCAAGGCAGTCTCGAACATGTGGATTTTAGGTGGATTTCTGTCTCAGCGTTTCTGTCTTGTCTTTGTAAAAATCAGACGAACTCAAATGAACAAAATGACCCAGTTTCTTCGTTTTCTCGTCTCTCTTCTGTCTCCACTTCACTTTGAGAGATACGCTCGATGGGATCTCTGTCTCAGTAACAAGGATCAGAGCTGAAGTTTTGCTACAACATGAGGGATTTTCTATGGAAAGAAAAGATCAAAGTTTGGGACTGAATATATTTGAATACCTTCTCCTGATTCCGCTAATGGGCAAAATGACTGTATATCCTAAATTATAAAACAGTAAGTCTAATTTACTCTTGCTCTGAGTTTATTCCTAGTTCGGTCCTGTTTTTCCATCCTGCCCTAGTTTTGTCCTGGCAGGTCCTTCTTTAGTCCAGATTTTGTCCTGCTTCAGTTCAGGTCCAGTCCCATGGTTCAGGTGACCTGTTTTAGTCCTGCTTTGGTCTTAGGTCAGTCCTGGTTGAGTCTGGATTCAGTCCTTGTTCGCTCTTGCTTGAGTCCTGGTTCAATCCTGCTTTAGTCCTATATTCTTGACTGTAGTTGTGCTAGTTCAGTTCTGCTTTTGTCTTGGTTCCATGTTTAGCCCTGGTTCAATCCTGGTTTAATCCTGGTTCAATCCATGTCCAGTCTAGTTTTAGTTCTTGTTTAGTCCTGCTATTCTTCTAGTTTATTCCTGGTTCAGTCCTGGATCAGTCCTGGCTCAGTTCTAGTTTATTCCTGGTTCAGTCCTAGCTCAGTTCTGGTTTATTCCCGGTTCAGTCCTGGTTCAGTCCTGGTTCAGTCCTGGTTCAGTCCTGGCTCAGTCCTGGCTCAGTTGTGGTTTAGTCCCGGTTCAGTCCCGGTTCAGTCCTGGTTCAGTCCCGGCTCAGTCCCGCCTCAGTTCTGGTTTATTCCGGGTTCAGTCCTGGTTTAGTCCTAACTCAGCCCTGGTTCATTTCTGGTTCAGTTCTGGTTCAGTCCTGGCTCAATCTTGTTTCAATCCCTGCTTAGTCCTGGCTCAGTCTTGATTCAGTCCCAGCTTAGTCTTGGCTCAGTCCTGGTTAAGTCCTGGTTTAGTCCTGTATTCTCTTGGCTGTAGTCCCGCTCAGGGCCTGGGGGCAGTGCACTTTCTTAGACGCCTCTTTTAGACCATGCCCCACATTCTGCTCTTCTGTGACTCATGTCTTTTTGAAATACTCCGAGCAGTGGATATAGGCCATGGAAATATATTATGCTCAATTTCATCATATATCACAAATGTATGACTTTAAAACTTATCACAGGTAGTGCTTCCCTATAACTTTTGCCTTTTGAACGCTCAGTGTGTAGTTCCCTGATGAAATCTATGGTGAGGCATGTGGATATCTTTGTGTTGTTCTTCCGAGGACTTTCAAACCACAAGACTGACAATATCACCTTTTAGTGTTATGATTATTGTGAGAAGAAGAACTGCAGTTTTTAACAATTATCAACAATTTATGACCAAACAGTGAAATTCTTTATTCACTTTAATTCAGAAAATTGCCGTGTTAAATAAGTGTATGAAGTTAAACATTTAAAGGTCCTATATTACACAAAATTGACTCTTTTGAGCTTTGAGCCATCTTATAATGCTGTTATCTTATCAAAAACATACCTGGAGTTGTGTTTTGTTTCAGTTTTTATTTTGAGTAGTCCTTTATTATTATTCTGTCTACATTTCTAAACTTTAAAATGCTCTGTTCCACCTTGTGATGTAATAAAGCTGTAGTTTTTTAAGTTAAAAGTTAAGTCCTTTTACTTTTACTTCAGTAGAGATTGGCAATTCCAGGACTGAAATTATCCAAATAATTCTAGTGGAGGTGTATGATTACCACATGACATCACAAAGTGGAACAGTGTTTTCCATATGAGAGAAGAACCTAAATTCCATGTGGGATTAAAGTGTTATGTGTTAAACGTGTGTGAATGAACCAAAACAAAACTCCCATACATTTATGTTTATTTTTTTCAAATGTAGATTGAATTGAAATGCCTTACATTCACTTTCAAAACTTACAGTTTCCATTTTTATTATAATTTTATTTTATATTGTAGTTTCAGTGACCTGTATAATCACAATCATTGCTTAATAGCGATGTAACAATAACCAAAATATTGTGATATCGTCAAAGTTCTTACAATAATATCGTGGACCATCACGGTTTATTGAATTACAAGTCTCTTTGCTTAAATTAAGAGTTATGGTGCAGCAATAGCTCAAAAAAAAGACAGAGGGAACTACATAGACCACGATCCTTTGCTTCATTTCAATGCAGACTACAAGAAGAAAAAACAGTTCTAAGCACTTTTAAGTCTTAGTTCTTTGGATTAAGTCTTATCAATACATTTAAGATAAAAAAAAAAGTAGTGATTTATCAGTTTTCTTAGCTTCACAAAATATTGCAATAAATATCGTACCGTGAGATGTATATCGTGAAAATATCGTACAGAGAGATTTGGATATTGTTACATCCCTAATCGTGAGCCTCCCCACCATATCATGAGCTTTCCCACGATATCACAATAAATATCGTACCATGAGGTTCATACCGTGACAATATCGTATCGTGAGACTTGGATATCGTTACACCCCTATTGCTTAACCAAATAATTTTGACATCTTTACCTAATAATGTATGTTTTCTAGTTGTCCAACTCCATAGTTCATAGCCAGGACTAAACCAGGACTATCAGTGATTTATGCAACAGAAATTCACAGAAAAACATCATTATACACCATTGAATTTGTTTTTCTACTTTAAAGACAATTCCAACATTTCCCCTATAGATTGGACTTGACCAAAGAGGTTCAAACCAAGCCAAACGTCGATCAGATTCTCACTGTTGTCTCGTATAGTGTGATGGATGTGGAGAGCTCTGTAGTAAATGAGGTTGTCTTGGCTTGTACTTATTTGTAAAGCTAAGTGCTAATTGCCTTTTAGTCAATAGATCTTTTTGGTGGTCGGAGCTGGCTTAAGAGAGCTGCTTTAATAGCCTCAGTCGCTGATAGTTTGTTTGAAAATTAGAAATTAAGTTGGATGACTAAAGTTTGAAAAAGAAAGTGAAAAACGATAAACTTGTGGAATTTAGCTGCTTTAAGGTGCACTATGTAACTTTTCTGGTAGGGGGTTCATCGCCTTCTTGTTTGTTTGTCTTCTTGTTTCTATGTCACTGCTCTGCCTGGAATGTTCCACAGTATGAATTTAAACTGCTGTACATTACATTTATTCAGTTGCAGGGGGTTTTATAGCTGAAAAATACCTTGAAAAACAGGCATTCTGACTGTGACCAGGGTTGCCTCTCTGCAGATCTGACTTGTAACTTGGTCTGGTTTGGTCTCCATGAAGATAGAAAGGTTTAATACCATACCGTGAAACATTCCAAACAAAGCAATAACATCTGAGCAGAGAAAAGTGTCCCTATAAGTCCGTATAATTAAAAATAATTGAAATTGCTGTTATATCATTCAAAATGGAAAATAGTACTTTCATTTGTGGATGGGTTTATGGTCCCTAAAACCCATTCTCTGTGTGATCTATTCATTTAAATCTGTTGTCGATAAAATGTTACATCTGTGTATTAAACCTTGTCTTTATTTGTGTGTTTTAGGAGTTCGCAACGTTGACGAAGGAGCTGAACATTTGCAGAGAGCAGCTTCTGGAGAAAGAAGAGGAGATTTCTGAGCTCAAGGCCGAGAGGAACAACACTCGGGTGGGATTATTCTTCTGTTTAATAAAAGACTAATGTGAAAAAAAGTGTACATATCTTGATCAAATGATAAGGAAACTGAATGCCTAAAATATGTATATAGTTATTTATATAGTTATTTAACACTGTGGAAAAATTTTGTAAAATATACCCAAAAAAATACTCTTGTTGATATATTGATACAGCAGTCCCTGATATCAATACTGTATCATCACATTAAACTATACGATATATAGATTTTTCAATATTTTTCCACATCCCTAGTCTTGATACAGTTTTTTTCTCTGCATGTTCAAAATAAACTACAACAATTTCAGCTCTTTCCTTCTCTCCACCTGCACAGATACAGCTGGATAGAAGTCAGTAAGGATCAGGTCTTGCGTATGCCCAGTAATTAAAGCAGAGCCGACAGCTCCCATGCACAGGGCATATGTTATGAGTTTCTTGCCTGTATTTGAGCATGTGACATTTGCCAAACTTCTCAGCATTGTTGGTAGATGAGCGGCTAGTACTCATGCTTCACAACAAGAAGGTTTAAGGTTCCACTTCCGAACTTTCTTTGTGGAGTTTGTATGTTCCTCCCTGTGTCTAGGGGGTTTTCCTGCAGGCACTCTCTTTCCCCCATCAACCCAGAACATGCACCATAAAATAAAATAAAATTGAAAATTCTCCAGTTAAGGTAGTGCTGACCAAGACTAGCACAAGATCTGGAACGAGGTCCCCAAGCGCTAAACTGTAGTAGCTCAGTGCTCCTGGTTACCTCATGGATCAATAAAGTATACCTTACCTTCAGCTGTTACATACATCATATTCACTGTGATTGATGAAGTCCTCTTGCCATTCACTCAGACATGACAGAGGCTGAGCAACAGGAAGAGTGAGAGGGTGAGAGTGTCTGTGTTTAGTGCATAGTGCTGCATTTAACAGCAAAGCACAATATGACTATATATATATATATATATATATATATATATATATATATATAGTAGATAGGATTAAATTGCAACTTAATTTATGGTCGTATCACTCAGCCCAAGTGGTGTATTTTTTTTTTCTTTGTATGTCCGTAGTTACTGGTAGTGTTTCCCCTTAATAAAGGAGATTATGGTGGCTTCTGGAAGTATAAAATTCTCCCTCTTATTCATAGATTGTATAAAGAAGTGAACTAAGGGAGTGTGACATCACCCATAGTGTACATTGTTTATAGGCGCGAATTTGGAGCCAAGTTCTGTATTAGAAATTGGAATGGAGAAAATGGGGAAATAAAAACACAAGGATCATGTAGAGTGGATTAACATAAACATTTTAAGACCAAACTGACATTCTTCTCTAAAAACAACATAAACTATACTTTGCTCAACACAATAACAATTTGTTGCTTATTGTATCGTCATGAGCATAAAATATACTATACTGTTCTGAAAGACTTCTTGAAAAATATGCAAGTGACATCTATTATGTAAGAGGAAATTATTAATATAAAATCAGTAGTATGACCACGGCACTGGTGTATTTTTGTGATATTCTAAGTCTAATTTACTGAACACATTTTGTGTGTGTGTGATTTCAGTTGCTGCTGGAGCACCTGGAGTGCCTGGTGTCGCGTCACGAGCGCAGTCTGAGAATGACTGTGGTGAAGAGACAAGCCCCGCCCCCCTCCGGCGTGTCCAGCGAAGTGGAGGTCCTCAAAGCTCTCAAGTCTCTGTTTGAACACCACAAAGCCCTGGACGAGAAGGTGAGAGAAACAAACACACCCTCATACTGATACAAAAGCCTCATGTAGAACAGGCTATATTTACATGAGATTATATCAAATTCTTAAAGCTGACCTATTAGGCAAAATATACTTTTCAGAGCTTTTAATCATGCTATAGTTCCTCCTTCTCATTTACCCTCTGAAGTTGTATTGGGAGTGATCTGTGGCCACCTACATCTCTTCTTTAAGAACCTGCTAGGATTAGGTCAAAATTCAGTGGTCAATGTGTTGAACTGTCAAAATGCTAATGCCTGGACCAGATTTCTGCTGATATATCTGTAATTACTGATCCCATCCACATGAAACAAAAAGGAACAGAGTTTAACTTCTTGTCAGCAGAAATTACATAACATGGTAGGGAAGTAGGCAATGTTTTGGTACCAGAGGAAGAACAGAAACAAAAAATGTTGACAGGTGAGTGTCATTTTCACTATAAAATGTTTGTGTTTAGTCTATTTGAAGGGACAATGCTCAGAGACATGCTCATAAAAAAGTCCTTTATGCATTTTTTCAGAACCAATACTTGTTCAAATGTGTATAGTTTCAATACTAGTTTTTGATGCAAGTCTAGCTACACTATTTACAACAGAACTAACCTATGAAATAATCCTGTTCTTGTGTTTCAGGTGCGTGAGCGGTTGAGGGTGGCTCTGGAGCGAGTGGCCACTTTAGAGGGACAGTTAGCCTCCACGACACAAGAGGTGGGGGCTCCTCTCAGTCTGTGTCCTGTGCCCTGTGCCCTGTGTCCTGCGCTTATAAATGTAAATGTATGTGTTTAATGTGGGTCCAAACAGCTGCTCCCTGTCCTGCTCAGTCTGAGGTGACGGACTGGTCTATTCAAGTGTCCAACTCAAGTCTGACTCTTTTGATCAACCACCTCCATAAATTAGCATACACTTATTCACAAACTGCAAACAATAACAGAGCTACTTTCCAGATAGTATTTTCTTTAAAGGTCCTGTATGAGGCAAAACTGACTCTTGTGAGCTTTTAGCCATGTTATATTGTTGTTACCGCCTCAAAAACTTAACTGGAGTGGTGTTTTTACCTTTAGTTCAGTAGAGATTGGCAATTCCAGGGTGAAATGATCCAAATGATTCTAGTGAAGGTGTATGGAGTTTAAAAACACAGTGGAGCTCTTGCGTTTTCTGGTTGAGAAAAGAGCTCATCCTAAATATGCAGGTTTGTGTGTTAAACATGTGTGAATGAAACAAAACACAACTCCAGATATGTTTTGGATGAGGAAACAACATTATAACAGATCAGAAAAATGTGTAATATGGTCCCTTAATTGTGGGACTTAACTCTAAATCTATATTTTTTTTACTGTGTATATGGTGTTTGAATAACATTATCTACTGTTCCTAGTTATTCTTGGCAGATTTATTGAAATCTAGGGAAATTTGCAGCTTTAAAGGGATAGTTTGGGTTTTTTGACATAAATCTGTATGGCATCATCGTGAGCAGTGTCATGCATCCACGGTGAGCAAGTTGGCTGGGGACCTTTATTTATTTTTATTTGGTCCAAAAGATGTGGGGTGGCATTGTTACCTTGGTGCATCCTGTCACTTCCCATGCTGCTGTCTAGAATATAAAATATTCATCCAGTTCAAATGATGGTAATGCAGCATAATTCAGATATACAAACCTTTGTCCAGTATGAGATGATGAAGTGACAAACAAGATCATTTTGTGGTACAGTTACTGGAAGTTACTCACATGGCCGATGCACACACTGTGGCTTCCTCTTTTCTGCACCACTGGAGGAAAAACTAAAACACAAGTATTATACAATTTTTATATTTATGTTTATTGTTCATTTGTCCGTTTGCCCGTTGTTAGTTTGATTCCGAAAATTATTATATTGTGTGAACAAAGATCCATACAATACTTTTGTAGGACATACTCCAGTATTACTGTTACTACTATTACTTCCAATAATACTACTTTTACTGCTGTTAACAGTTGATATGCAGCTCCAGCTCTCCTCTGTTCGGGCTTCTTTAGGAGCTGCTGTCCATTTGTCCTTTGCATCATTACTGACAATGTTCTTCACACCCACATTAACAATATTGTGTTTTGGCGTGTGTGTGTGTGTGTGTGTGTGTGTGTGTGGGTGTGTGTGTGTGTGTGTGTGTGTGTGTGTGTGTGTGTGCGTGTGTGTGTGCACTCAGAGCTGGGACTCCGCGTGCGCACACTTCATGGTGGTTTGGGCCTAATAGCCTAATATCCAATATAACTATTGAAAAAGTAATGTAGTAGCAGTATGATTGGAAGTAATAGAAGTTCAAATGTAAGTAGTAAGATTGGAGTATTTGGAACAATAACTCTGGACAGCCCTCTAGAGCATCAGGCTCTAGTCACAGTGCACCCTCTGGTAAAAAAGGATATAAGCACTCATCTGTTTGCTCCTGCACACATCTCGCCCAGTGACATTCTGCACGTTGAGGTCGTCATAGCACAGCCACCCATCGCTCGGTTCCAGGGGACTGTCAGCCAGGTCTTGCCATCAAACACATAGTGTCCTATAGAAGCACACACACAGTAAAGATGAGAGTTGAAGTTTCATTAAGACATTTTCCTAGTGTTGAGTAATAAATCATTTTCTCACCATAGTTGGCTGAGTTTCCAAAGTGGGAAATGATCCCCACCAGACTGAAACAGCCAGAATCCTATATGAAGCACAAATGGCAGGTTACTAAGAAAGTTCCAAAGTTCCTTCACTACATCTTTGGACAATTGACTTTACGTTGTTTGACGACACCACCAGGTCTCTGTTTATGTGGACGGCATCATTGACTTTCTCCAGCTGGTATCTGGGCGTGTACCTGAACCTGTTCAGGTGGAGCATCAGAATGCAAGGACATAATGTAAACAATAGTTAGTAAGGAGAAGGCACTTGTTTCATTCAGTTGAATGTTTGTTCCACTTACTTGGGCAGTGTTGAAAAGTTGATCTGCATGACATTTGCCAACCACAGTCACACTTATACTCCAGCTCTGTGGCCTGTCAAAGTTAAAGATAATGTGAATATTAAATCAAAATATAATACTGTATTGAGTATTTTAAATTCCTAAATAAAGTGACTTGGCCAGATAAATACTTGGATCATACCAAAGGAATCCATTTGAAAATCTTACTTTTAAATAGTCCTCCAGGAGGTCCTGCGTTGTAGTGTCTTGATGCAGGTTCAGAGAGACAGAGTTAAAAATCTCTGTCTGATGTGAGCTTGTTCCACACCTGCACAAACATTAACACAGTACATGGAGTATATGAAGTACATGAAGTATATATGAATACATGATACTTAAGAGTACTGTGTTTGCTGTGAGCCTAGCCTGTGAGACTAGTCATAAGTCTCCGTGCATAAATGTGGCTGTTGAGAGCGGCCTGTAGTTCTGACAGTGTAAGACCTTGGAGAACAGGAGAAACGAGCAAGGGCAGCACGACAACATGAGCGATGGAAATAGATTTTTGTAAATATACAGCATTTTGCCTGACGTATTGTCTGAACACATCTTTTCATTACGCTATTCAAGCATTAATTTAAAGGTGTTTTTTTCCGTTTCTTTTACATTTTTTAAATGTTTTATATTTTTTATGAATTATGAATTGGCTTTGTTTTATGGATTACCTAGTTTTTCCATTATTAACTATATTTTAGGTCACTACTTTTTTTTTTCCATTAAATTAATACTAAGGCTTTTTTTTTTCTGTATTTTATTATCAAATCCTCAAATGCCACCCTTTGAGAGAGAGAGACAGAGAGAGATACTTTATTGATCCTTTGGGAAATTCAAGTTTTGTTGCAGTTGATTTTGCTACAACATTTCCACTGCAACTCAGTCGTCTTTGTGTCCTAGTCAAAGACAAACAATTGCTTTGAGTTATTCAACTTTATTTTTTTTTGTACAAAATAATCAATTTGTCTTGCTTCATATATTTGACATCTTCTGTTTGTTGTAAGAAGTAGTAGAAAGAAAATAATTAAAAAACAATGAATGAGTCTAAACTTTTGACTGGTAGTGTACCTACAGTCACTGAATGAAGCTTGAAACTGTAGTTATATATTTATTGTACTTTACAGTAGGGATGTCCCGATCACATTTTTTTGCCCCTGAGTCTGAGTCCGAGTCCGAGTCCTTTGATTTTGAGTATCTGCCGATACTGAGTCCCAATCCGATACTTCTATAAGAATTATAAAATGAACTAAGAGCAGGATGTATGAGGGATCAGATTGTGTTGATTTCATGTGTAGTATTTGACTGAACTCGTGAAAAATCAAATGTCCAAAACTTTTTTTTTTTATTAATTTTTCAAACCATTCATCATCATTGTTGAAAATCTTGACTTTTCACAGTCTGGTCTTGGAATGTGTAACTTTTAGTAAACTTAATGAAATGGACAAAACAGGAACCAGACCAGAATCATATGAGACCTGAGACTAGACTCTGCACAATCTACAGTTTCTATATTTGATATTATATGTTTGCCTGTGTGTTACATTTGAAACATTTAGACTCGTCTATGAAATCCAAATAATACAAAATCTTACCAAATAAAAATGAGATGACAGAAGCCCCACAGCCTCTCTCCCCTGGCCGCCCCCACATCCACAAACCCACAGCGGAGCGTGTGCCGCAACATCAGTCTCACCGCTCAATAGACACGTCACGCCACTGGACAGACACTCTTTGCCAATAGCACCATCTTTGCTGCACAACAGCACTGTTTATTTTGTTTGCAACAAACAACGCCGTTCAATGACACCATCGGCCGGACAGGTGTTAACACGGGCCACAGAACCCGAGGTAACAGCACCCAAGCACGGCACGGCCCACTAACTCGACATTCCTGAGCAAATACCGCACCTCAGAAAAACTGTTGTGTCCTTTTTATCCGATACCTGATCGGACCATAACGTCCGAGTCCGTATCGAGTCCGCAGTTACATGATTGGTGCCAATTTCTGATCACGTGTTCGGATCGTGACAATCCTACTTTAAAGGTGTACTTTGGAGTTTTCAACAGTGTGGCATTAAACTTATCCATCTTGCATTTATTCAATTATAGGTGTTTTTATTTCTCTAAAATACTTTGACAAACTCGAGCAGAACAGGAAAACCTAAAAACTGCCATATCAGACCACTGTAAAAGAAATAACCACATTATGGATTGGGACGGGGCTCGGGTCATTGGATCGGAAAACAGCAAGTTCAAATGCTGGATCAGGGAGGCCAGTGAAATCAGGAAACGAGGCACGGACAGCATTAACTGTAATAATGGAGCGTTCCTCCTTTCACACACCTGGGACACCCTTCTCCAGAGAACACCGGGCAACGGGAGGAGTGGTCAGTCTGAGCGACCTGCCAGGTCAATCAGGCTGGCCACGCCCACAGGAAGTAACAACAGCTGATATACGACACGTCACCACCAACACCAGTGACAGTTCTGAAGATGACTTGCAGTTAGCAGCCGAAACATGTCAACAAGGTAAATACACTTTACCGTATTGTCTTTAAAAAGAACTCAAGAAGTTAAAGTAAATAAGAAGACAAAATGAACATCTTTGGCTCAAATTTGCAGCTTGCTTGTCAAAAATGCCCATCTAAGTTTGTTCTACCTTTAGTGGTTTCTGTAATCTCCAGTAGTTGGTGACATCACACAAGACTGCCCTACCTTATATTAAACAATTTTTCCAGTATTCCAAGTTATAATGTTCTTTCCTCGTCAAAAACAGGAGTTATGTTTTATATTCGCGCATCTTTGAGTAATCTTGCATAGTTTGGCTCCCAACGTTACTTCTTCTCCACATCTATAGGTAATCCACAAGGGCTCCTCCATGTTTTTAAAGCCCTTCCATTACATTTAATCAGATAATTACTGCAATAAAATTCTTCTTGTCAGCACAGAAAACCTTAATGCTAGCTACACTTTTTAGACTGATTAAAACTGCTTTAGTCCTTAGTTTTTCCATTTTTCTCTTTTCTGGTTTTATGTGCAGTGACATAACTTGGATACTATATTTTCTATATATTTAAAAGGTTTTTTGTTGGATGCGAGCCATACGGATATAGCTGCCAAGGAGAGGCACTTATATTTAATATTCAGAGACATTGCTGGATTAGAACCGTGTGGAAACAAACCCGATTCTCACAGATAATTCAAAAAGAGCAATTAGTGTGGTTTCCCTATGTCAGTGCAGTTCATTTCCTTTTTTTCTATGGGAGAGAATTTTAGATATAGCAGCACCGCTCTAGTCTCTTCTTTTAGTGGTGTCACAATACTCAATTTCATTACTAAAGAATAGTTTTGAGATTCAGTAGCAGTTCTTATACCACGATGAACCATTTTAGAACAATGCTTAAAGGTTCTATAGAAGATTTTCCAAGGAAAGAGAAATGCAGTTTGTCCGTTTTTAAATGTTGCGCTTCGCTCCGTTTCCCCTTCTCTTCTTCTTTCAGTGACATCAAAAACAGACTTTCTTTTGCGGTGCACTGATCATGAATTCTTGTCTGCCATTAAAACAAAATTTGTGCAAACCGAGAGGAAGCTACAGTTCGAAAAAGACTCCAAGAACCGCTGTGCTGGTTGAGTAAATGGCATCAGTGCATGAGAGGCGAACATAAACCACGCAATCCCAGCAAGTCGGCAAGTCAGAAACGTAGAAATGTAGAGAGTTTGATTGACAACCTAACAGCCAATAGATAAAGAAGTAGCCTTGTTATGTATTGGCTGATATTTATCTGCCCCCACCACATCCACAGTTGATGGAATTTCTTTTTTTCTTTTTTTTTTTTTTTTTGGTCATCATAATTACAAGGATGCTGCTTCTCTATAATTCTATTTTGAACTTTCATTGACAATTTGAAACAACAACAAAAAATCCTCTATACAACCTTTAATAGAATTTCAATTTCAACTTTAAATCATAGAATTTTCTTTTATATTACTATGTGTTTTTTTTTTTTATCTTTGTAATCCCCCAGTCATCCAGGTAGGTTCCATAGTGTCCATGGGCGTATACTAGTCCATGTGCTCTTATTCTGATACAACTTAAAATCATTCTAAAGCTATTCAGGAAAGGTTCTTTACTGTGAATGATTATTTTTTATCTGTAGTTTTGATACTACTTTTAGTATTAGTTAGTATCAGATACTTTTGACAACACTAGTTTCTTATCATACTGAATGTGTATTTTTGCCAGAAGGTTCTATTAAAACTATATAAGGCCATATTATATAATTTTGCAGACTCCGAAAGCATTTGAACTAAAAGCCTGTTCATTTCTGCTGATCGTACAGTTCTGCCCTCTTCTCTGTGTAAATCTGATTGGACATGTTGTTTTTGCCTCTGAGCGTGTCTCTCCTTTGGGAAACTCAATTTCGATAAAGAAAACCAGACTAGTTTTATGCTGTCACAGGCAATGGAGATGATGACCTCTTATATTTATGAATTGGAAATTACACTTTTAGATCAAATGCTTTTGTGGTCCTGGTGGTAGGGCTTTTGCATTACTGTAACTGCTAGTCTTGATTGGCCTCATTTGGATGCTGTGGAAGGCTGTGGGTGAGGGCACACTCACTTAGTCCACTTCTTTATACTATGGAGTCTATGGAGTATACCAATATATACCCAATATTCAATAATTCAGTAAGTGTAAAGTTATCCAATTTATTTTATTTTTCTACCACCACAACAAGTAAAACTGTCATGATAATTACTATATTGACTATCTTTATTATAAATTTGGAACAATATATACTTGGACTTGGTTTTTATCGTGTGTACATTTACTTAAGATTTGGATTTGGATAAGGATTGAGTAAGTAACTTCTGTGGCTAATTATTGCTTCATTTTTCAGATCTGTCTATTCTGCATTACCCTGCTTTGTGTCAGTTGCATAAAGTTGTTTCAGTATTATCGTTTATTGTTATTTTTTTCTATTAAAATATATCATGCTTCAAAATTTGTGACAGGCCTTTCAACAAGTGGTATTTACTTTTATTTTCACAGCACTTGAAGGCATCTCTCACTCCTTTGTATGTGTTTTCTCTGCAGCTGAACTTGGCGCGGCAGAGGAAAGACGGAGACTCGGCAGATGGATCCAAACCAACATGGAAGGTCTTCAGACTGTGTGATTGTTCTTTACCATTTGTGTTTTTGATTTGGTTTATTTATGTCTGTCTTATGTCAGTTTTCATCTGGTTTGACTGTGGGACACAAATATTATGGTGGCCACTGTGATCATTTTAATCGAACATATACACGGTTAATTAGCTTGTTTTTTGCTTTTGTGTGTTAGGGCTGCACAATATGAGAGACAGTTGTGGGTTGATTTGCAATTCATGACTTCAAACAAAAATTTTAATCCATTTAGGAGCATTAATATTTCCAGAACTTGTTTTCAACAATTTTCAAACAGTTGTATGAAATTAAGTTTATTTATTTTACCCTACATTTATATTGTTGGAGGTACATCACCATAGAAGTCAAGAGAAGAGTCTGAATAAGTGAATATTCAGCAGAGCATAACAAAAGCAAGCTAAATGCTACATGCTAAATCTCTTGCACCTGAATAACTTTGTTTATTTTTACAGAGACTTCCAAATGGTTCAATAGATGCCCATGACGATGGGAGCAGAGTCTCTGAGCTCCAAGAACTTTTGGACCGGGCCAACAAAGACCTGGCCCAGAGCCGGGACCACACGGCCTCCCTGAACGCACGAGTGGCCGAACTGGAGGCGGAGCTAACCAACACGAGAAGAGAGCTCAGCCGTACAGAGGAGCTGTCAATCAAACAGCAGAGGGAGCAGAGAGAGGTGAGAGGGATGTGAGAGAGGAGGAGCAGCACTTGTTGTTGTAGTTTGTAGTCATAGTAGTTGTTGGTGGTTGAGTGGCTAGCACTCACGCTTCACAGCAAGACTGTTTTTGGGTTTGATTCCCAGGTCGCTCAGACCTTTCTGTGCAGAGTTTTTTTTTGGTTTGTTTCTCCCTGTGTCTGGGTGGGTTTCCCCCATCAACCCAAAACATACATCATAGGTAAAACATTCCAGCAAAGGCAGTCCTAACCAGGCGTCAAGATCTGGAGATCTTGAATTAGATCCCCATATGCAACACTGTGAACGACGGGTCAAATACAGAGGACAAATTTCCCTATATTTCCCTATAATTTCCCTTAATCTAACCTTAACCCTGTTGTCTCCAGAGATACTTTTTTTTTGTTCAAAATGTTCATTTGTATATCTCTTTGGAGACCAGAAAAGTTACATAGTAGCAAAAATTTTAAATCTATTTTACTGTGCAGAGAGAGGACATGGAGGAGAGGATCACCACACTGGAGAAGCGTTACCTGGCGGCTCAGAGAGAAACCACCCACATCCACGACCTCAACGACAAACTGGAGAATGAGCTGGCCACCAAGGACTCTCTGCACCGACAGGTACAGGACTATTTATCAACACAGTGTCAGTAAATATAGTAAATACAGCAGACATGTAATATCTGTACATTTTACACTTATATACTTTCTATCCCCTCTGTGGAGCTCAACTGTGGCAGGGGACGTCTGGTAAAATTCCATTAATTTATAATATTTTTTTTCAATAAACGCCTTTCATTAAATAAATGCAAGAAAGATGCGTTTATTGCCATATTGCGGAACATTCCAGGTGACGCCGTAACCTCTCCATGGAGACAAACAGATAAAATAACCTCCACCAGAAAAGTTACACAGTGCATCTTTAAGAAATGAAAGAAATAATAGAAATTAATTAAGTGGTTTAAGATGCTTTTATTTTGGTAAATATTATATTTCATTTCTGTATCAGTTTTGTATTTCAGTTTCATTATCATAGTATTTTGTTCTTGCTGTTATAGAGTTTGTTGTTGTGATTGGCTACTTCACTGAGAGACCCTCCTCTGTCCAAAGGAGGAGCCGGTCCACTGAGACCATAAAAAAGGTGGTAGAGTTATGTTTTATTTTACGGCCTATAGTGTAAAATTACTTCACTGTACTTTTTTATGCGATTTACAAGGTGAAAAGAAGATGTAAGTCTAAAAATAGAACAAAAATGATCTGACAGGTTCAACTAGAGTTCAGGGTGACTGAGAGTTCAGCTCATCCTCAAGGAAATCCTCCATACCCTCCATCACACCACAATGTCCACTACGCCATCTACTACCACTGCTACTGTCCTCTACTGTTCTAAAAGACCTATATTACAAAGAAATGATTCTTGTGAGTTTTTTTTGCCATGTTATAATGTTGTTACCGCCTCAAACATAGCTGGAGTGTTTTGTTTCATTTACACATGTTTATTATGTATGTGTAACGGTAGTTTTCAAGTTAATAATTCCTTTTACCTTTAGTTCAGTAGAAATTAGTATTTCAAAGACTGAAGTCATCTTAAATAATTCCAGTGAAGGTGTATGGAATTTAAAAACACAGTGAAGCACTGACTGTATTATTTGACATTACAAGGTGGAGCAGAGTTTAAGAGCAACTCAGCCTAAATACTGTATGCAGGGTTTTTGTGTTAAACAACAACCACAACAAACACAACTCCATGCATCTTTTTGATGAGGAAACAACATTATAACATAGATTAGAAAATAGGGTAATATAAAATAGATTTGCTATTTTTCTGTTTTTACATCCTCCACTCGCAGTTTTGAACAGGAAGTCACTTGACCAGACTGAAAAAAGATCAGTCAGACATGCACAATGTAACTGTTTTCTCTTGGAGGGTCCGCCACCTGTTTGTCTCCATTCAGATGTTATTTCTTGGAATGTTCCACAGTATGGCATTAAAGATATCTAGCTCCATGGAGAAAAGCAGATGGCATCACTGGCAGGTTACAGGTCAAATCTGTGGAGAGGAGAGCCCACTCACTGTAAGAATGCATGTCGTCCAAGGTAATGCTGAGAAATCAAAACATCTCCAATTGAATAAATGCAAGGTAAGACAACATAGATGTCTTGGTCTTTTAATGCCATACTGTGGAATATTCTAAGCAAAGCTACATCTCCATGGAGACAAGCTGATGGTGGACTGAACAATCCTTCACATAGGTCTATGTCTCCTATTCATGGATTGCAGCTTCCTGTTATATGCTACATTTTAAGGGCTTCTTCCCTGTGAATTTTTAAATTTGTTTTAAATTGTTAATCACTATGGCAACAGTCGTAATTTTTATCATTGAAACACATGCACAGAGTGGTTGGTGAGTGAATAATTGTTGTGTATGTGTCTCTTGTTGCAGAGTGAGGAGAAGGTGCGTCAGTTGCAGGACTTGCTGGAGCTGGCGGAGCAGAGACTGGCACAAACTCTGAGGAAAGCCGAGACACTGCCCGAGGTTGAGGCAGAGCTCGCCCAGCGGGTGGCAGCACTCTCCAAGGTCACAGGAACATCACTACATCACACACATCAAGAGAAATACTGGGTTACTCTGGTTTCAGATCACAATTTCCTATTGGCCTGTGTTTAATCTAGACTAGGGCAAATGATATGTTTAGTAGGGCAGCAACGCTTAAAGTGAGTCACCATAACTAACTGATTTATTTAAATAATTAGAATTGTATTTTAAAGGTCCTGTATTACACACACACACAAAAAAACAAAGCTCAAAGTGCTTTGTTCCACCTTGTGATGTCATGTAGTCGTAGTTTTCAAGGTAACAGCTACCTTTTAACTTTTGTTCAGTAGTTTGACAATTCTAGATCTGAAATTCTTTTCTGTAATTGCTGTTTTTCTGTTATTGTGTTGAGGACCCAATCGCAAACGAGATGTTCAAGTGGCTTCCTTTTGAATAAATAAATTAATTATTCAAATTATTTTTAGTTTAAAAACATAGTCGAGCACAAGGTGGAACAGAGTGTTTTCTGTTTGAGAGAAGAACTCAATTGCTAAATATGCAGGGTTTGTGTGTTAAATGCATGAATTAAATAAAACACCATGCAAGATATTTTTGATGAGGAAACAGCAGTACAACATAGATCAGAAAATAGCGTAGTATGGCCCTTTAATAATCACAATTGTTATTTTTATTCTATACACATCAACAATACACTTTCAAACCTTGATTGATCAAAAAAATAATTAAATAATCGTTAATTGCAGACATACACTTGCACCCACCACCTCGTAAAAATTTAGACTAAACCTGGAACTAAACCTGGACTAAAACAGGAACAGAGTGTAAACGCTGATCCTGGTCCTGCATGTAGTACTTCAATATTATGAGAGTGAACAATATATATAAAATCTAATAAATATAAGTATGTTTATATGTTTACATGTAAATACAAAGTCTTCTTCATGAAATGTAAAAGTGTAATATTCAAATTCGATTGTATTCTTATCATTTGTTTTAATATTTTATGATTTTTATTTTATTTCTTATTCACAGTGCTGGGTTGTTCTGATGTTTGACTAAATTGAAAGTGGCAATACTGTATATGTGTGTGTCTCCCCCTGCAGGCTGAGGAGCGTCATGGCAACGTGGAGGAGAGGCTCAGACAGCTGGAGTCACAACTAGAGGAGAAGAACCAGGAGCTGGGGAGGGTCTGTGTCCTTCTGCTTAATATATTCACTATCTCTCCTCTGTGCATGTACAAATCATCCCAATCAGTGGAGTACAAGGACTAAACAAGGACTAAACCTAGACAAAACAAACCATTATATCAAGACAACACCAGGTATTAGGTTAACAGGGCTATAACCAGAATTACAGAGGTCAAATTTACTGTAAGTTTGACTAAAACAAGATTAAATCCAGTAGAAAACAAACAGTAAAGCATACAAGCCCAAACCAGAACTAAACCAAGTCTAAACTCAAGACTAAACTAGGATTATACCAATTTGAGAATAGCTTCGCGTAGTTTGTCGAGTGTGAGTGATAGGCCTTTTTCACGTCAGAAATGTTGCGATGTATGGTAAACGTCACTTATGTTAATGCTTTTCTATGGCTAAATATCTGTGGAAATGTCTCGTGTCTTTTCCACCATATTCATAAATCTCCTACCCATCACCAAATCTTCATCTAACAAGGTCAACTTATTCTGTCCATGAAGAATTTGTCCACAGCTATCACGGTAAGAAAGACAAAAACATAAAGGCAAACAATGACTAGCATTAGTAAATGACTCCTGAGCAAAACTAACCTTATGGTCATGAATAAGACATAAGTAACTTGTTAACTCATACTGATTCTACAATTAAAATAAAAAATCGATTTCATGATGTAGAGACTTGCATAGACAGATTTGTGCAGTTTGAATGCTAGACATGTAATCTGTGAACATCTGTAGCATTCAAACTACACAAATCTCTCTGTTTATGCTAATATCTACATCATGAAATCTTTCATTTTAATTCTAGAATCAGTCTGAGTTCACAAGTTACTTTTTAACGAATTATTTATTACTTATGTTTTATTCATGACCATAACATTAGTTTTGCTCAGGAGTAGTTCTCTAATGCTAGTCATTGTTCACCTTTAAGTTTTCATCTTTATTACTGTGATAGTTGTGGACAGAATATGTCCTTTGTCGACCTTGTTGAATGGCGATTTGGCGATGGGGCAGATTTATGAAGCTGGTGGAAAATATGTGAGACATTTCCATAGACATTTCACCATAGAAAACCATTAAAGGGACAGTTTGGAATTTTGGACGTAAGTCCTCATTTCCTAGTGAGCCAGAGTGTTGGAGACGTGTGGTGACACTTTTTTAAATATTCCATCCAGTCCTTGTATTTGCAGTGTTTGCTAGTGCTAGGCTAGTGCATGTCAATGGCCATAGTTAGCCTGCCACTCCACAAAACACCCAAAGCAAATCTATTATTACACCAGACTGTTGATGTAAATGTATGTGTCGATAGAATAATGTTTGAAATAAAACTAACCTTGCATCGCATGAATCGTCACATGTTGAGGGACTATTTTCTCATATATCAGTCCACCGCTGCCAAGCTTTCTATTGGGAAGTACAACTCACTGCTGCTCACACATAAATCCTTCAAATGCAAGGTTGGTTTGACTTCTAAAATTATTCTATCGACACAAACATTTACATGGACAGTCTGGCGTTATAATAGATTTGCTTCGGGTGTTTTGTGGAGTGGGTAAGACTATTTTTAGTGGCAGGATAACTATTGACATGCACTAGCCTAGCACCAGCGACCTCTGCAAATACAAGGATTGGATGGAATATTTAAAAAGTGTCTCCACACATCTCCAACACTCTGGCTCACTAGGAAATTATGTCCCATGTCCAAAATTCCAAACTGTTCCTCTAACAGGAAGCCCCACAAACCTACAACAGGGAATTTCCAGCCGTTGTGGAAAAGATCTATTGTTGGTGGTGGTCACAGGGGTCAGTGGCACAGATTGGTAATTATTATTATTATTTGGACTTACTCAGGGTAGACCAGTGTATTTTATAATTCTGATATCATTTCCAGCATGCTCCTGTCAGCCTTATCACTGATTGGCTGCTATCTTTAGCCCCTGAATAATTCACGCTAGGCTAATTTCTGCCTCTCTCTGAGTTTCCCCATCTCTATATTTAGCATTCGCTTTAGCCCCAGTGTTGTGAGGAGGCAGATGTGGCTCTGTTACGGTCTGATTTATTCAAATGAAGGATGAATACTTAATAGGCATAGCATGTCCAATCAAAAAGGAGCATTGTTTTTAGTAGAGTAAATGACTTTAATTAAGTAATTGTTGCTAATTTATACATTCTGGGACAAAGCGGTAAACCATAAAATGGAAACAGTAATTCATTGGTCTTACATAGTGCTCTATTGTAGCGTTAGGCTGCGTTCACTCCTGTACACACCAGATCAAAATTAGGACTAAAGGGGAACAAATTCAGAACTAAACCTGGACTAGACCAAACCAGGACAAATTTGAAAAGGTGAAACTGGTCAAATGCCTAAAAAAATCTTACAAATGTGATGTGGTAGTAACTTCATGGACATGGAAAACTTGGCCATTATGTTTGTTTATGGTGGGAAATTGCTGTTATGTTTGAGGTGATTTTTACGTCTGTGGGCCTAACATTTTTTTCGTTTGGGTGGTCTTCTCTGCTTTGCTTTGTCATGTGAAACAGCTGCACTTTTTTGAAAAATTCATGCCTGTAAATACAAGGGATATGCGAATGGTTTTGTGAGAGCTAGTGACGAATTAGAGCCTCGGGTTACAGTTAAATAACTACTTTCTACTTTCACAGTCTGAAAATCAGGTACCTCAACTTTAACATAATTTTTAATATTTACAGCGTACTAAGCCTGCAGAAACCCTGAGGTCTCTTAAAAAATCTGAAAAGGAGAAAGTTACTGAAATGATTCTGTTATATACTATTCCCTGATCCTTCAATTTAACTTATGTCGTATTTATTACTTTCAAACCTGCTGTATTAGGCCATCAGTGAGTTAAGGACAGTCTCATTTGATTCCTTTGATAGATGTAGAAATTAAATGATGTAATTTTTATTCTTGGTCTGTAGGTCTTTAGTCAAGTCAAGTGAGTGAGTCATCTTAAGATTTGGTATCTGTGGTATCCCTATGTAAAAAGTAAGCTTAAACTAATAATTCAAAATTTAATCTGTCTTTATACATTGTTTCCTAGTATTTTTCTGCATAAATAATAGTTGTGTTTGCATTAATTCCCGTGTGGGGGTAGGCTTATGAGTGACTTTGAGTCAGATACATGGAGATACGTAATCGTTTTGGGAGCTTTAGCCATGCTTGCTTTTAACTCAACTAATCAATCAGCAGGACATGTCTTAAGTCTTATGTCTTATTTCTTCCCTAGTTTATTCAGTGGATTCTAATTGTTGCTGTGTGTGTTTAAGGCTCGTCAGAGAGAGAAGATGAACGAGGAGCATAACAAGCGCCTGTCCGACACAGTGGACCGTCTCCTCACAGAGTCCAATGAGAGGCTGCAGCTGCATCTGAAGGAACGCATGGCTGCTCTAGAGGACAAGGTTCTAATCACAACTAAACATGAATATTTTTTATTTTTCTTAATTGTATAAATGTTCAGCAAGACATATATTTGTTTTGTTTTTACTCCAGAACTCCCTGATTCAGGATCTGGAAAACTGTCAGAAGCAGCTAGAGGAGTTCCATCACACCAGGGTCAGTATGAAACCAATAAAGCAAACATTCAATATTTAATTTATGTAGGAACATTTGCATCAGTTTGAAGGGTTAGATTCACTTCATAATGTGCAGTTATTGTATATATAAAACCACAAAACTCTAAGGACAATTATGGAAGTTATGAGTTACACTTACTTGTACTACTTAACCTTTTATTTATTAACTTTTTAAATTAATGCATCAATAAAGCCTTTTTTTTTTTTTTTTTTTTTTTTTTTTTTTTTGAGAAGTTCTATTACAACTTGTTTGCCTTTAAATAACAAGTACCTTAAAGATTTTGTTTTGCTTTGTCTTTTTTTCAAGGTATACCACTTTTATGAGTTTGTTGGCTACTCACAGTGAGTAGTGTATACACAAAAAAATCAGACAGATTGTTTTCATTTCTGTATGAGTTGTCACATCTTAAGCACATTTTGGCAACACTACACACCTCTTTCTAGAATGTATAGACCACACAGGGGTACTTCCATTATAGTTAGTTGTAGTTGTAGGTTTGTGTACTGTTAAGTGCTATAATTGTTGTGTCCTTAAACTCTCTGTATCCCTCAGGAGCGGTTGATCGGAGAGATTGAAAAGCTCAGGAATGAGATCGATCATTTGAAACGTCGCAGTGGAGCCTTTGGTGATGGGACACATCCAAGGTACATTGTACATTATATATTGTGGTACATTAGGAATTGTTGTAGTATTTTAGTAAAGTTGGCCCTCAAGCACCCTTCTGAGAGATTAAAAAAAAAATATGTTATTTTGTTTGCTGTAGAACTCGGGAACAAATGTACAAAAGCAACCATTATTGACAAAATCCAGCATGTTTGTAACAGTAGTGCTAAATGTCCACAGAGATGCTTTAGCACAAACAGTACTGAAAAAGCAAAACAAAGCACTGTGGAACAACCCATTAAACTGCTCGGTCTCTACTTGTAAACACATTTATCACATTATAGTGTTTTGTTTTTTTTTTTTTACAAAAAAATGTCATTTAAATCTCGGTTGACTTAAATGAAAATTGTAATATTTCTTGCAAGAAATCCATGCTTTATCTTTTGATTATTTTCTATGGAAAAATCAATGAGGAGATAAAATATGGATGTCTTATGCAGATAAGAATTCAGCAAGTCTTAAAGATCATTTCAGGATAGAATGACTTAAAACAAAAAAGTTATGTCTTATGGTAATGGTGGGTATGGAAAAGTGTTCATTTTGACCTGACACATTATTACACCACTATAATCTATCACTGTGTACTTGCTGAAGGTCCCACCTGGGCAGTGCCAGTGACCTGCGCTTCTCTGTGGTGGAGGGGCAGGAGGGGCACTACAGCACCACAGTGATCCGACGTGCTCAGAAAGGAAGGCTGACTGCGCTCCGAGACGACCCAAACAAGGTAACATGCATGGTTTATCACGGAGGAGCATGTTAAATCAGGCTTGGAACAGTAACTGACGTCATAGATAGTTAGCTACATTGCAAGGGACATTTGAGTACTGAAGTGATCATAATGAGGCCTTTGCCATCTAGTTATGTTTTGAATGAGGAAACAACATCATAACATGGTTCAAAGCACAAGAAGTCAGTTTGGCATAATATAGAAGTTTAAGGGACAGTTAATGTGTTTATATATGTTTATTTATGTATAATGTCAAACAAATGATAGTGAAAAACAAATCATTATCAAATTACTCAAATACATTGTATACATTATACATACATTATACATTGTACAGAATACATCCACATTTACATAGTTACAAGTTACATAGTCAGCTATTCAGGGTGGCTTAGATAAGATATGTATTTTAAGGATTGTGTTATACAAAATGCATTTATTAAAGGTGCACTGCACAACTATTCTAATATTGTTTTGCCTGGAATGTTCCATGGTATGACATTAAACATCCATTTAGCATTTATTCCTTACAGGTGTCGCTATTGCTCAAAAATACAATAACTCTCCACAGATCTGAACTGTAATGTAGCATAGTGTTGTAACTTGCTTGTCTTCCTTGTGAAATATAGGTTTAATCTGTAGTGTGGAACATTCTAGAGACAGCAATAACATTTCCATGAGACAAGCAGGTGGCAGACGCTCGACTAGAAATATTACATAGTGCACAAATGTTCTTGGCTTTTGCTGATCCATGGTTCGTTCCTGTTTTGTAGTTTTTATGTTTAGTTTTATTTTCAGTTTGGTAATAGTTCAAATTTGTCCATGAATCTAATATGAATACTTTGGTGAAATTCTGCCAGATAACTGTCAGTACAAACATGCATTGCTGCTCAGATGTATTTTCTAACTGTCCACATTCACATCTGCTTTGCTAATATTTGTCGACGCTCAGAGCCGCTCCAATAATGAAGAGGAGTTTTTCGTCACGCGATTCATTCTGTACTAACCTGTGTCTGTCTTCTCTCACTGCCGCCATGGACATGCTGTGATGTAAGTTCAATGTTCATCCATCTCCCCACTCCATACGTGTCTCCTGTACATGTGTATCAATGTGTTTATCTGTGTGGTCACTTTATTAGGTACACCAGATACACATACAAATATTTTAAAAAGCTGTGTTTAACTGGAATATACAGACTTTAAAATACATGCCTACAGACAGCGACTAGATTAAATACAAATGTAAATATTCACCATCTAGAAGCCTTGAGTTACCTTATATTATCGTGACCTTTACTTGGTTAAAAATGTAATTACAAATCTTGTGTAATAGAAATAACTGTTTCACTATTGGACTAATGAAAAAATAATTGCTGACTACTAAAATAATCTTTATTTTCATCCTTAGTTTTGGTATTAATTAGCAGAGGTGGGGATTTGCAAGTCGTGACTTGGACTCGAGTCAGACTTGAGTCACTATTTTTAGGCCTTGAGACTTGACTTGTTAAAATTGACTAAGACTTGGGACTCGACTTGGACTTGAAGGTAAATGACTTGGGACTTGACTCGGACTTGAGGCTTGTGAGGAACAAACTTTAACATGTCCCTCCCACTTCTCTGTTTGTTACTTTGGATGTAACTGAAGTATTGTGATGTAGTATCCTCAAATGTACTACAGTACAATACAGTAAAATACTAAGGGAACTACATGGAACATGATCCTTTATGGCAAAGTAATTTTTATTTAGCACGTTTTGAAATCTAAATTCTTTCTATTCTGGCCGTAATGATTCACACTAAGATCTTGCCAAGACATTTAAAAAGGAAAAAATTGCATTTCTGCAACTCTTATATAAATACTCATATATAAATATATCATGACAAGTACAATTTAGTTTAAAATTCATATAAATTGCATATTATAAATCTAAGCTATATTTGGTACTTTGGTTTAAAGACTTGAAATGACTTGAAGCTCAAAGCAGACGACTAGGACTTGACTTATGGGCCAGTGACTCGAGACCCGACTTGAACTTACCTAACTTTGACTTGGGACTTGACTTGAGGTCAAAGACTTGAGACTTGCTTGAGACTTGCAAAACAACAACTTGGTTCCACCTCCGTCAATTAGTGTCCAAATCTAGTTGATTCCATATTTATCCATTTTTAGCCATGGTCTCCTGTGGCTTTTGTGCAGCATTTAATAAAACATTATCAGTATTATTGGTGATACAGTTCCATGGAAACTATCACAGTATTACAAAGTTTCAGTGTTTCCTATGGTCTTGGCTGAAACATGTAGACAAATCATCAAATGTGTAAATCATTTGAATAATGGAGGAGACCTGGTTTAGACTGGGCTTTAAGAAACTTTAACTTTGTGACATGAAAGTCTGAGGATTGCTGTTTATTTCCTGGTTTAGTCTTAGTCAAGTCCCAGTAGTCCCAAATAGTTTTAAATTTGGCCATTTTTAGTCTCTGTTTTGTTTGTAGTTTAGATTATAGTCCTGTATTAATAATGTTTAACTCTAGTTTGGTCACTAGTCAATAGGATTAAAATTATCCTCTGGTGTACCCCATAAAGTTACCTGTTTTTCTCTATAAATGATCCCACTTCCGCTCATGGCCCTCTCCTCTCCTCAGGTGTGCGCTGTTTTCGGCCAGGATTACCCCTCCCTCCGTGGCTCTGTCACTCACCTCTTGGGCAGCGACGTGGAGGCAGAGTCTGACATGGACGACGATGTTAGCTCCGCCCTCCTCTCCCCCAGTGGCCAATCGGATGCGCAGACTCTGGCGCTAATGTTACAGGAGCAACTCGACGCGATCAATGAAGAGATCAGGTGAGACTTTAGCCCTGGTTTAGTCTTAGTTTGGTCCTTGTTTAGACTTACAGCTAGTTAAGTCGTGCTTTTTAGTCCCTGCTTGGTTTGGTCCTTGTTTAGTCTTAACTTATTGTAGAGCTATTAAAATATTAAAAAGTGTAATTCTGGTCCTCATCCTGGTTTTGACACAGCTCATTTAGTGCTCAGATTTAGTTGTGTTTTATCCTGAGTTTAGCCCTAGCTGTTGTTTAATCCTGATTGATTTGTGGTTTAGTATTGATTCACTCTCGTTTAATCATTGTTGAGTGAGCCATGGTTGTAGCCTGGATTAGGTCTGATATAGACCTGATTGAGTCCAAGAGAAGTCCTAGATTTGAGTGCTTTTCTGGTCCTGGTTGTACTAGTGTGCATTAGTCTTTGACTGGCCCTGGTGTCAACGCTCACAAAGAGGCTGGGGCTGTATATTGGAGGTAATATTAGACCATAATTCTCATAATTATCGTTCCACCTTGGACCACCCCAGTGAAGCCCACCCCAGTTTTCACATGCCCCTGGGTCTAGCTGTGGTTTATAGTTTTTTTCTGTTTATTCTTGTTCTAGTGCAAGTGTAGTTCTAATTTGGAAACTGTTCCTGGTTTCACCTAGCCAGACTTGCGCCACCTATTGCCTCCACTCAGTTTCATTTCTCTCCAGCCACTAGGTCAGGAATCAAAATACACTAGGCGATTCGCAAAAACCTCAGAAGTGCAAGTTCAGGCACCAGCTAATCAGCGAAGAGCCATACATTCTTTTTTGGCAACAATTCCCGAGATTGAGGATTTAAAACCGGAATAAAGAGAATGTTTGGTAAATTTTATCAAGGGGAAAGACGTTATTGTCCTTCTTCCCTACAGGATTTGGGAAAAGCTTAATATACCAGATAGCCCTGTTAGCGGCGCATTACATATGTCACGATCAAATAGCAGCGATTGGTTAAATGATAAAAAGTACCCACCTACCGTCGAGCAAACGAATCCTAATGCTGCGAGGTCAGGCGGTTTGTACAAAGTGAAACAAAGTAAAACCGGCTAATGAATCAGGTTAGGTTTCGCCCTTTTTAGTTCCATTTTATCATTTTTTTTAGCCATGATTTACTCTTGTTTTGTTTTGTTTTGTTTGTCCTGATTAAGTTCTGGTTTAGTCCTCTTGAGTCTTGGTTTAGTCCTGATTTAGTCCTGGTTTTGTCTCTTTTTAGTGGCTTGGTACTGGTTTGTCTCCTGTCATCCTCTATCCCTGCAGAGATCAGGTGACACTGTGCAGAACATGACAGAATCTGCTGCAGCGAAATCAGGTCAAGGCCAAACCAAGGAGGAGACGAGGCAGATACAGTAAAACAATGATGTAGACATAACATACATTTCATTTGCAAAGAAAAGCAGCTGTGTGGAAAGCAGGAACAAGATTAAATGTATTGCTTTATTTAATTTACTTGAGAGCACTGAGTATGACATAATGCAACGGAAGTGATTAAACTCCCCCCGAGCTCTCTTTTTTTATGGCTCGTATTTCAAAACACCGCACAGAAAATGACCAAACCTCTAAATCTATGTGGGCTTACATCTGCTGTTTTTATTGTGCATTTTGTTAGTTTATGAGTTATGCGCTATTGGATCAGTGGGTAGTTGGACTGTTTTAGTTGTATCCTAGGGTAAGACACATCACCAATATGATTACTGATTATTCCCTCTTTGTCTCTCTCTATCTCTGGCCTCCTCTCTTTTATTTATCCCTCTCTTTATCTCCCTCCCCTCTTCCTTCTCCCCCCTCTCTCTACCCCGTTACCCCTCCCTCTCACTCTTCACTCTGTTGCTCTCTCCACCAATCTACTCCCCTCCTCCTCTTTGTCCTTATCTCTCTTCACTCTGTTATACCATCTACCTTCTTTTCACTCTCTTTCTCACCCTTTTTTTTCTCCTCATCTTTCTTTTTCTCTCATTCCTGTTTCTCTCTTTCTTTTCTCCCTTCACTCTCTCTCCTTTCAATCTTCCTGTCCCCTCTATCTTCTTCTCTCTCTGTCGTTCCCCCTTTCTATCTTCATTCTGTCTCTGCCCATGTCCTCTCCTTTTCTCTCTCTCCTTCCCCCCTCTGTCCCTCTCTCTCGCTCTCTTTTACCCCTCTGTCCCTCCTCTCTATCTCCCTCTCACTCCACATTTCAACCACTCTCCCTCTTCCCCTCGCTCCTCTCTCTCCGCACCTTCTTTCCACCCTTTCTCTCTCTCCCCCTCACCCTGCCCCTCTCTACCTCCCTTCCCCGTCTCCTCCCTCTCTCCAGGATGATCCAGGTGGAGCGTGAGTCTGCAGACCTCCGTTCAGAGGGTCTGGACTCTCGTGTGAACAGCAGCAGTATGGACGGTCTGAACGTGACCCTTCGCCCGCGCGCTCTGCCCACCTCCGCCACAGCGCAGTCCCTGGCCTCCTCCACGTCACCCCCCACCAGCGGGCACTCCACGCCCAAACACCACACACGCAACGCAGGGCATCACCTCGGCATCATGACCCTGGTACACCAAACTATCAGCCAGGATAATAGTAGTAGTAGTTGTTGTAGTAATAATGGTAGTAGTTGTAATAGCAGTAGTAGTCATCATAGTAGTTGTAGATGTACACTAGTAGTAGTAGTACTTATAGTTGTAGTAGTAGAAGAGGTGGGGACTTGCGAGTCATGACTTGGAACTCGAGTCAGACTTGAGTCACTATTTTTAGGACATGAGACTTGACTTGATAAAATGGACTAAGACTTGGGACTCGACCTGGACTTGAAGGTCAGTGACTCAGGACTTGACTCGGACTTGAGGCCTGTGACTTGTGAGAAGCAGTTTTAAATCTGAATTCTTTCTATTCTGATCAGAATGATTGACACTAAGATCTTGTCAAGACATTTAAAAAGGAAAAAAAAAAATATTAATTTCTACAACACTTATATACTCTATAAATACTCATATAAATATACTAGATTTTTTTAAGTACAATTTTTCTCAAAAGTCAGTAAATTGCAAAAATCTAAGCTGTATTTGGTACTTCGATTTAACAACTTGAAATGACTTGAAGCTCAAAGCAGACGACTTAGACTTGACTTGGATTTAGGGGCCAGTGACTTGAAACTCGACTTGGGACTTGACTCAGACTTGAGGTTAAAGACTTGAGACTTACTTGAGACTTGCAAAACAAAGACTTGGTCCCACCTCTGAGTAGTAGTAGTAGTAGTAGTAGTATTAGTTAGTAGTATTTGTTGATATTGTTATTGTAACAGTAGTAGTGATAGTAGTAGTATTTGTAGTAATAGTAGTTCAAAGTAGCTGTAGTAGTAGTTGTAATAGTAATAGCAATATTGGGTGAGCCATTTTGATTACCAAATAGTATGTTTAAAATCCAGATGAGATAATGAATACAAATATTGCTTTAATTTTAATACTAAAAATTTTAGAAAGCTATTGTGCGTACAGGAATATTTCGTTCTTGATCATTTTCAAGTAACTATTTATTAAGCAATTTATCTGAGTACACATTTTAAGTATTCTTATTATGATGTGTATTTCTTTCAGCCGAGTGATTTGAGAAAACATCGCAGGAAAGTAGCAGTAAGTATCAAACAACTGACATATTTTTAGTTCACTACTACCATCATTGTTATACTAGTACTACTAATACTACTACTATATTTTTAACCCCACTGCCCTCCCTCTGTGTTTTAGTCTCCGGTCGAAGTGGACAAAGCTACAATCAAATGTGAAACGTCGCCGCCTTCGTCTCCTCGAAGTTTACGACTCGAAACAAACTTCGCTCAGTTCACGGGAAGTCTGGAGGACGGACGCGGGTGAGCAGCTTTCACAACACTGCATATCTGTCATTTAGGCTGCACTTACACACCTCATCAAACTTGGGACTAATTGATGGACTAGATAAGGATATGACCAAAGCCAAGTCTAGGACCAACTTATGTGAATGCATCAAACTGCGGCTCACATGCTGAAATAAGTAGGGATAACCTCAAATGTTATTATCACAAAATCACAACATTTCTCGACAAAAATGACTAGCCAGATCTAAATGAGGTGTAAGCAACTCAGGACTAAACAAGAATTTTTATACGCATTATTAAATGTTAATTCAGTCTTTTTTTTTATTTTAGTATCATACGTGTAATCACTCTTTTTATTTATTTATTTATTTTGTTACAGCAAAGCGAAAAAAGGCATTAAGTCCTCCATCGGTCGCCTGTTTGGGAAAAAGGAGAAGGGTCGAATGGAGCCTTCAGTGGGAAGAGAAGGACAACAGCTGTCTGCATTAACAGGTAGATACCAAAACACACACACACAATAGTGCTTATAATGATTTTTTTTTTATTAATCAGTATTCATTAGTAGCAGCAGCACTAAGCAGACATGCAGAAATTTGGAAAACAATGTAATGACTAATCCACTAAATATGGTCTACTTTACTCACCTCTGACTACACCTGATATTAACAGAAAACAGTTGTGTTTTCAGATTTTGAAATGGGCGTTGGTGACACCATGACTCTGGGCAAACTGGGCACTCAGGCAGAGAGGGATCGCAGGATGAAGAAAAAGTACAAATCTCTCTTTAAACTGACGACTTTTAAATATTACAGATGCGGTTTATTATGATATTTTATGTTTTTGTCAGACATGAGCTTCTAGAAGATGCCAGAAAAAAAGGGCTTCCGTTCGCTCAGTGGGACGGTCCAACGGTTGTGTCCTGGCTGGAGGTTTGAATGAGTTTTATATTATTGCATAAATACATTAAAATATACATGAACATACTGTGACAAATTGCTACATAGAGGAGCTCTTTTAACAACTCTCAGACAGTAGAGCGGAGTTTTGCCATCACAATAAAGCTGACAGCAACTAGATTGTTAATGCGCACTTCCCAAGAGCTGTTCATACAATATATCTACTGCGGAGCCATATACATTTCTGTGTATTAAGCTAATATCATTGCTGTCTATGTCAACACTTTCTACACATTATTTTCTCTTTCTGTGTGTGTTGTGTTCAGTTGTGGGTGGGGATGCCGGCCTGGTACGTGGCTGCCTGCAGAGCGAACGTGAAGAGTGGGGCAATCATGTCCGCACTGTCCGACACAGAGATCCAGAGGGAGATCGGGATCAGTAACCCTCTGCACAGACTCAAACTCAGGCTCGCCATTCAGGAGATGGTGTCCCTGACCAGCCCCTCCGCACCCCTCACTTCCAGAACGGTAACACACACTGACAAATACACTATAACTGACTGTGATAATGGTGGTTGCAACATTGTGTGGGACTAAGTTACAGTTAGATTTGACATGGTACTGAACAATGTAGTCTCAAGTTGCAGAAATTGATGTCATAGTAAAGAAGCAAAAGAAAATGAGCTCTGTTATATATCTTGATGTTGAATAATGTGCTAACTCTTTCCAAATGAGTAAAAATATAACAATAAAACCTGCCGGATATATTTTAAACAAGTAAAACAATATAGATTCAATGAATAAATAAAGACAGGTGACACAAGACATTTAAAATCTACAGCTGATGACCACAATGGACAGAATGTTGGATGCCAATGTACAAATTTACATTAGATACAATTTAACTTTTAACACACTATGAAAAAGAAGAAAAAATACATTTTGATGTATGATATGATATTATATTCAATTTAGCTGACTCTCAAAAAGGTTACTAAAAGAGCCTGACATTTCATGCACAATGTTGCAAACTTAATCTTGCTCTGCTCAGTATGCATTTACATCAGATACAATTTACCTTCTAACTCATTATGAAAAAGAAGGAAAAATACATATTTGACCCTAATGATTATAAGATATTATATTCATTTTAGCTGACTCTCAAAAAGGTTACTAAAAGAGCCTGACATTTTACCCACAATGCTGGAAAAAAGTACAACCTTAAATACTAACTTTACACCTTGAATCAGTTCACTCTCAAATTGTTTATTTTTCTGTTTGATGCACAGCACTTTATGTCCTCCACTAATATTGGCACCTTGATCATTTTTCATTTTGATAAGGATAACTTTGTGTTGTCATTTTCTGAGCTCCAAGACCTTACTAAGTTGTGCAGCTCTTCAGTTGTGATTTACGGACTAAACCAGGACTTAACCCAGATCTATTAGTGTTTCCTATAGATTTTTGTCCCCCTGAAATCAGAACATGAACACTTCAGAGATGCAAGTCCTGGTTCAAAGATGTTCTGCTCTTGACACCTGGATTTACATGAACTACATAACACATTACAACATACAGCATCAACTATTTTGCGTTTAGATTATTAACAATTTTCTTAATATTTAAAGGTGCACTATGTAACTTTTTGGTTGGGAGTCCATCACCTGCTTGTTCCGATGGATATGTCATTGCTTTGCCTGGAATGTTCCACAGTATGACATTAAACAGCTCTATCTTAAATTTATTAAATTACAGATGGTTTATGGTAGAAGTCTGCGCGGGACAGAATTTTCTGAATCATCTGCGATATTTTGTCTTGCCCGCAAGTCCCGCAAGATGGGAACGTTTGCTTTCTTAAGCTCTATCAAACAAGGAGAAGCAGAAAGGAATTGGGCTGGGTATGGGAGGAGACGCGGTGGGCAGTCCAGCAGCATGGTTCATTTCTGGATAAATCCTGTTTTAGTCCTGTTTTAGTCTTGGTTTTAGACCTGTTTTAGATGTGGATTAGTCCTGGCTTAGTTCTGGTTTAGTGGCGCAGCCCGTACGTCACGTACTGGAGGAGGGACTGTCCGCAAGGCGGATGGGATGGGGGTTGGTCCGTGCGGTGTAGGGGAGGGGGGACGGTTCACGTGGCGTACGGGAGGGGGTACGGTCTGCTGCTTAAAATGCTTTTATTAATGCCAAATGAAATATCCAGCACAAATTATGTGTGGTATGCTTACATTCATCATTTGTATATTTTATTTTACTTTCATATTTAGTTTGCAGGACTGCAGTTTATCATCTCACCCGCCTGCCCCCGCGTTGTGTAGTCCCGCGCCCGCGCCCGCAGTGAGTTTTCAAAATGTGTCCGGCATCACACTGTTTTGCATCGGGTCCTGCGGATTGCAGGGCTCTAGTTTATGGCTCATAAATACCTAGAAAAACAGGCATTCTGACTGTGGGCTGGGTTGCCTCTCCACAGATCTGACCTGTAACTTCGTCTAGTTTGATCTCCATGAAGATAGAAAGTTTACCATACTGTGAAACATTCCAGACAAATCAATAACATCTCCATGGAGAAAAGCATTTCACGGACCCTCCACCAGAAAAGTTACACAATGCACCTTTAAAACAATATATTACAAAATGAATACAGATTTTTAGAGTACAATTTATCCACATCCACTTTACTTATATAGTGCTTTTTACACACATACAAGAGTTGCCAAAGTGCTGCACAGTAGGTGACATGCAAAGTGATTCTCTATTCACTAACAGTTAATAAAATAATAATGTGAATGTAAAATCATTTGATCTAGATCTTAGAATTTAAAATATTTTCTTTACAGCCCTCTTTATTCATATGTGAAATTAAGGGTACCAATATTTGTGTATGGCACTATAAATTGCATGTCAGTGTTACCATATTTAGCCTGTCTCCCCCTCCCCTCCCCTCCTCACTGTTGCATCCTGGGACATTTTGGGACCTGAGTGAAAATACTTTTGGTGTTTTTGCGCACTCTCCCCTGTTGTTATTGCAGTCGTCCGGAAATGTGTGGGTGACTCATGAGGAGATGGAGAACCTGGCGTCAAACACCAAAGCGGTCAGTACCATCTGGGACACCCCCTCTGTACCACACGGAAACACTGCCCCCTGCTGCACGGGCACGCTCCCGCACTGAACACTAAATATGTCCCGGAAAACACCCTCCTTTATATCACTCATTCATTCTTACAAGTATTACTAATGTGCAATGACTTTCTAATAATTGTGTTTTGAAGCTAGTGTATTCTGTAATGAAAAACACAAATAACTATCTAATCTATCTAAATGCTACTATTTTAATACTTTACTATCTGTTGTTATTATCATATGATTCTGAATTTATTAATGACTGTCCCGTTGATTATATGTACATTTTCATTTTTACAAAACACTAAGCACCAGGAAACAGTTTTTAATATTATGAAATAAACAAGCTAAGATTACGTTTCTAAAAATATAGTAAATTGCTCAATCAGAGTTTATGTGCATCAGAGCAATATCTTCATCCTGAAATACAGCCTTTAATAATAACTTTTAAACAATTAGTGGTACATATAAAGTTTGGAACTGGTATTTATTGTTATTATTACATATTTTCTTTAGTCTTTTATTATTAAATATTTAGTTTAGTCTTTTTTTTGTATTGTTAATATGAAAGGCACTAGCATGATTCTGCATGTTTTTTTCTAACCCTGTTCTCTCCGTTCTCTCTGCTGCTCAGGAGAATGAAGAGGGCAGCTGGGCACAGGTGGGTCTGTTACTCTGGGCACCTCTCTTGACTGTTTGTTTAGATACATGGATTGTTTTAGGCTGTACCAGTCTTTGTCTTGTCTTTCTGTTGGTAGTATCCCATTTTTTGTTTTGAAGATATGCAAATTTAGTATATCAAGTTTATCGTCCATATTAAAACTCTTGCGCAATCACCACAACAAGATTGAGTGAAACTAAACCCAAAACTAAACCAGGACTAGACCAGGACTAAAAGAGAACCAAAACAAATCTAGTAATTCAGAAAAAAGTGAGTGCCACTGGGATAAAGCAGCAGTGGAGTGAGTATAGTGTAATATAATCTGGCGCTCGTCAAGGATCCACTGGAAACACAGACAGCAAAAATAGGACAAAATCGATCTAAGATTTTCTGAGGGTTCAACCAAATCTAAATTAGAACAAACTAGACCCAAACCATGGCCAAACAAGGACAAGTGTGAATGCATCCTAAGAGTTTTACAGTCCATTCACATTTCATTTTGTTAGATATTTGATCCTCAACCATGTACAGGCTTGTTTTCGAATAGTTTAATGACTGAATAATAATTTAAAAGTGTCATCTCAAAATTGTCAGGAAAATCCACAAATATATCAAGATAAATTGTCGATCTGTGTTACGCTCCGTTATTTTTGACAGTATTTTTCACTGATCTGTTTCCAGACGTTGGCGTACGGGGACATGAATCACGAGTGGATTGGTAACGAGTGGTTGCCGAGCCTAGGCCTGCCTCAGTACAGGTCCTACTTCATGGAGTGTTTAGTGGACGCTCGAATGTTGGACCATCTCACCAAGAAAGACCTGCGCAGCCACCTCAAGATGGTCGACAGCTTCCACAGGTCAGCTAAAAATCGGGGTTTAATTATCAGTTTAGTTTAGTTTAGTTTAGTTTCATTATTTTCTTTAATAATAATAATAATACATAACACTTATATACTATAGTGCAGGATAGAGAAACATTGCCAACTCTAAAAAAGTAAGATATGGGATGCTCTTGTGGCTCAGAAGAAATTTAGTATTTTACAATTATAATCTGAAGTCAACTGTACAAACCAAAACCATAAAAACTAGGACCACTGATGTTTCACCTGTAGCATTTAGCTTATGTTGTAAAAGTGCATATTGTATGTTTCTATAGTTTCCTGGTTATTTGTGTACAGGGCGAGTCTGCAGTATGGGATCATGTGCCTGAAGAGACTCAACTATGACCGGAAAGACCTGGACCGAAGACGAGAGGACGCTCACCATGACATGAAGGGTAAACGCTGCTCTTCAAACTGTCACATTCACTATTATATTACACTAAACAGTTTTGGCTTAAACAGAAAAGCTAATTCTTTTCTTATTTAATTCATGTTTAGTCCTGGTGTAGATTTGTTTGGTCCTAGTCTAGTCAAGGATTACTTTTTTTTTTTTTAATATGACACCTTTCACAACACCCATAGTGCTTTACAATGCACTGTTCATTCACGCCACACTAGTAGTAAGCAATTAACATAGCTTCAGTTGTCCTGGGGCAGACTGACAGAAGCGAGACTGCCAATCTGTGCCATCGGTCCCTCCAACCACCACCAACACTAGGTAAGGTGGCAAGAACTAGCCTAATTCATCAGCTGGTTTCACTTCGTAGAAACTGTCTGATCTCGCAGCGTTAGAATTCGTTCGCCCGATGGTAGGCGGGTACTTTTTTTATTTAACCAATCGCTGCTATTTGGTCGTGACGTATGTAATGCACTGCTAACGGCTTAACTGGTATATTAAGAACAAGTTTTGCCAACAAAATATTAGCAGATCTTATTTGCCATGGAGTCGTTTAGATTCAAATAAAACAGCATTAGCCATTAAAAAACATTAAAAAAAACAATACCAGTCAATTTATAATGTATTGTGCAATAACAATTACCATAATGTGATTTAGGGTCTGAATGATGAAAAAGATATGTATCGGTAATTCATGTATTACCCATACACGTGAGCTTTAAACCACATGACATATACTGTTGCCTACCTTTCATTCACATGTGTTTGCGTAACACTTTACATCTTCAAAGCCCAAAATGCTCTGTTCCACCTTGTGATGTCATGAAGCTGTAATTTTGAAGTTATTTACTTGAGATTGGCAATTCCTGAGCTGAAATTATCCAAATGATTCTAGTAAAGGTGTATGTTTGAAAACACAGTAAAGCACTTCATGTATTATCATATCACCACATTACAAGGCGAAAAAAGTGTTTGTTTGAGAGAAGAACTTATATAGGTATTTTTTGAAGAACATTATTACATAGATCAGGAAACAGCATAATACAGGCCCTTTAAACATATCTTCCTTATGTGTGCTACCTCCTCCCTGTTCTACCACTGCGTCAATTAGCCTTAAGCTCGTGGACAGCTGCGGTCGGAGCTGTCAGTGCGCCAAATGAAAAAAGGCCTAAAATTGTATGATGGTAAGCCGTGCATACCAAGGCTCTGCACACACGCTTGTATAGAGCGGATTGCCCTGTTGACCTTGAGTTTGAAGCTGGTTTTTGCTGTTGCCTTCAGCTGTCCTGGACCATCACAGACCTAATGTGTACTCCCCAGTGCCCCCCTCCCGTGCCCCCCGTCCCAAAGCCCGGGCAGCTGCACTTTAAATGGACAAAGGAGTGTGCCATAAGTCTGACACGATATGGGTATAATCTCTTTATCTAGAGCAGTGCTTCTCAAAATGTGGTGCGCGGCCTGGTAGTGGTCTTTGGATTCCTTTGATGCTCCTAGTTGTATTTAGTTCTAGCTTAGGACTTATTTAATACTGCTTTTAGTACTTGTCCAGTCCTAATTCATTTTGAACGCAACGTAATGAAATCTTTTAAGTTACTGCGCCACTTTTTTTCATATAATACAGTGAAATCTGACCCCATTATAGATTTATTGCAAAAAAAAAAGTTTTGACCCCCAAACATGTGGACTTCTGTGTGCTGTCTGTATCTAATCATAAAGCCTTTTTTATCTTCCATGTGAACTAGGAAGTGCACTGTTAGCGTGCCAGTCATTTATCTTTATTGTTATGGCAAAACTCCACTCAAGTCTCTGAAATTTGTGAAAAGCTTTCATTGTTGTGAATAATTAGGATGTTAGGAATAGATAAGGTAAGTGAACCACTGCAAACCGTTAAAAATGAACAAGTTCAGTTTTTTACGCTTCTGGGAGAATAAAAAGAGCCATCTATCATTTGAGTTGTATATTGTTATTGTTTTTTTTATGCAGGTTTCCTTTGGTGGTCTGTAGACTTTGTTCTCTGTGAGAGCAGTGACTTCAGGTTATAGGAATTAGTATTTAAAACATGCTGACGTAGCCTTAAATTGACCTGTATATGTCTGTGTCCCATTAGACGTTCTGGTGTGGACCAATGAGCAGGTGATCCACTGGGTGCAGTCCATCGGTCTGAGGGAGTATAGTGGGAACCTCCTGGAGAGCGGAGTCCACGGAGCTCTGCTGGCCCTGGACGAGACCTTCGACTACAGTGGCCTGGCCCTCATACTGCAGATTCCCATGCAGAATACACAGGTACTAAAACTACTACTACTGCTGCTACTATTACTCCAATACTGTAGACACCCATGCAGTACACTCAGATACTAATACTACACACTTGTCAATAATGTCATTTTGGGGGAAATTATCAAAATCGGCTCAGAATATTGGAAAAAAATAATATCTGCAGCCATCAGTTGTTCTGGTTTCTAAACAAACTGTATCACCAAAAACCCATATCGGTCAATCTGTAACTACCAAATAAAATCTTGTGCACGTACAGTACATACTATAAATAAAGTAATCATATGCTTATATTTTATTTTACTCTCCAGGCTCGTCAGGTTTTGGAAAGAGAGTTCAACAACTTACTGGCCCTGGGCACAGACCGCCGACTTGAGGAGGTAACCACTCAGTATTACATTGAAAACATTCATATTTTCTGTTTATTTTATCTCTATTTTGCTGATTTGGGTATACTTCTAGTTTAATCTGAGTATAGCCTTGGTTTGGTTTAGTTGTGCTTTAGTCGTAGTTCACTCCTGATATCAACCTGTGTAGTTTTTTGTAATTATGCCTCAGTTTTGATCTGTTTTAATTTCAGTTCAATTAATTTATATACCTTATTTTTCTCTCTCCTCAGTCAGGAGATGATAAGTCGTTCCGGCGCTCCCCCTCGTGGCGTAAACGGTTCCGGGCCCGTGAGGGGGGCTCCGGTCTGGGCATGATGGCTGGGTCTATGGAGACTCTACCTGCTGGGTTCAGAATGCCCTCCATGTCAATGCCCCCCAATGTGAACCTGCATATGCACAAGAAACAGCTGCAGCCTGAAGGTAAGACCAAAGATCTGGTTTAGTCCTGGATTAGCCCTGGTTTAGTTCCAGTTTATTCCAAGTTAAGTCTTGTTTTGGTTTGACTGATGATTAGTTACGGTTTAGGTCTAGTTTTGGTGTAGTCCTGGTTTAGTCCTGATTAAGCCCTGCTGTAGACATGCCTGAAGGTATCAACCAAAGACCTGGTTTAGTCCTGATAATGGTTTAGACTCTGTATATCCTGGTTTAGACATGATATAGTTCTGGTTTAGTCACAGTTTAGTCCTGGTTTAGCTTTGGTTAAATCCAGGTTTATGCATAAGAGAGAGTTGCAGCCTCAAAGTACGAATTCAAGTTCTGGTTTTGTCTATTTTAGTCCTGGTTTGGATCTGATTGCAGACCACGTGTAGAACTGATTTGGTTTTGGTTTAGACATGGTTAAGACCTTTTTTAATCTAGCAGTAGTTAAATGTTGCCATATGCACAAAAGCCTGCAGACATCACGCATGTCTAAGTCTAATTAATTCTATTGCATTATTTTAGTGAAAGGTTTTCCAAAAAATAGAAAATGTGTATTAGGCATGTTGTTAAGCATACTAACTAAACTAGCATGTTGTGATTTTATATTAGTTTTTGTTTTTAATGTTTGCATGGTGTGTTCTTGCTTTTCTGTCCCCGCCCCTTTTTGTCTAAGCCCCGCCTCCAGCTCCTCCGAGACTTGACCCCTCGGCGGTGAGGACCTACTCATGCTAACTCTCTCTGCTAACTAACAGGAGCGCTAATGCTAACAGGTAAGATAACAAAACAACCTAATCTGTGTAACACTCATTCAGATTCTGAATTAATCGTACTTACTTCATCCAATGATAATCCAAAAGCAGAAGGGTCTGAAATGGACTTCAAAGCTCCGTCCTAACTTGGGTAGGGTGACCAGACGTCCCTATTTACCCTGGACAGTCCCAGTTTTGAGCCCAGTGTCTGCTGTCCCAGCAGATTTATCCAAAAACCATTCATTTGTACCAGTTTTATACAAGAAAATGTCCCAGGCCTCCCTATTTGTGACCAATTTGATCCCTACCAACAGTAAAGAGAGGCATATATTGTAATTTGTTTAGGTAAAATACAAAAAAGGTGCTTAAAAATAACCAAAAGTCTCTGACTGGTTGATCCACCTGTCACTCACACCTAACGGAGAGACATGATAGGCTCTGTTCACGCTTATGTCACAAAACAGGAAGATGCTTGGAAACATGCGCCGACAACTTCCGGTGTAGTTCCCGACACTGGGTTCGCCAACCAACTGTGATCAAACCCATTGAAAGTAAATGTGATCAGAGGTAAAATGAAGACTGCATACGTATGTGCTGTTTGGAATCATCTTGAATTTGGCGCCTCATCTCTTCTAATCCATGTACCCTGTGCACTCGGAGTTGCCCGTCAGTGGGGAAATGATGAAAACTGAGGTGTGGTTGTAACTGTTGATTAGCCAAACATAAAGGAATGCTGCAATGACATATGGATGAAGAAAACTGGGCCATTTTCAAATTTTTCCATGAACAGAGCCCGCTGGAAGTTGTCATCGCATGTTTCCAAACATCTTCCTGGTTTGTGACGTAAACTTAAATAGAGCCTATATGGTTTCAGACCCAAATGATTTAGCATTGTCAAAGTGTGTGGTTTTGGCGGGCCAGGCATAGTTTTTTTGTGGAAAATACTGTACATTAAGGTTGGGCGGTAATACGGTTTTACAGTATCCCGCGGTATCAAAAAGCAGCAGCGGTATCAGTTTCATTACTGTCATTAAAAAAATATGCAGCGTGTAAGGACCTAATATAATATTATAATTTATTGATACCTGCATTTGTTTGCTCAGCACAAATGAATGTGTGATTGTATTTTCACTTTAATGCTATCACGATTTAAAACTAATAGTGTCTATAATGTTTCTTGTAACTGCGTGGGGAGATAACGTTCGATTAGTTTCATTCTGTTGACGTGACAGCTCATAAGGGAGACCAAGACAAGATGACAAGTCCAGCCACAGGCGAATTGGTCCAAAAAAAAAAAAACCTAGTAGCCTACTTCTGCAGTTGGGCAGCATTTTGGTTTCAGGCGCACATTTGTTTACGTTTTACAGAAATGAAACTTAAAACCACATGGCTTATTTACATAAACTACAAAGCGCTGATAAAAACAGCTCGCTTCTTGTGCGCTGATGCCGTTCAGCTTTTGTCGGACTAAAGGACACGACCAGTGGAATATATGTGTTCTTTCTGCGACAGAGGATGTGCTGTTAATGGTGAGTCTGTTCTGTGCGTGTATCGTGTTCGAGAAGGTTCATGTGAGACTTTTCAGAGATTATAAGTCTGCAGGTCATACACATAGACCGTACAGCAGTGCAGCTTTGTAGTTTACCAAAGTCGTAGTAAAACATTCTGTTAGTACATGTAATACTGTATACCCCGGTAAAATCCTGAGAAGGTTTAACGGTATCAAAATTTGGATACCGCCCAACCCTACTGTACATCATCTGTTATTTTGAAAAATAGTGATTTAGAAATATAGATATTATTTTTCCATAATCGACCGTCCTCATAACACAAACTTCTCCACTGCCTCTCTTCTGCAGTGCATTGTCATTACCTGTACGGACACATGCTTGCGGCCTTCTGAGAGTGACATGCCAAATCCGAGGTTTTTGGGGGTCCCCGGGGCGGTCCTCCTCACACCCGGGCCCCCCCTCCTCCCCTCGACCTTTCACCTCTCGACCGGACACGTGCAATACCGCGGCTCACCTTTGAACTCCGACCTTTTGCGAGTGCTGGCTGGCTGCGCTCCTATGTACAGTTCGTTTGACCCCAGTGCTCCCAGTCGCCTCAGTGTTGTGGTGTTGTGATTATGTCCCAGATCCTGTCTCGGCTGTGGGTTCAATTCCTGTTTTTTAGACGTCTTAAAGGTTGTTTCTCAAAACTACAGGATCCTTTTTTGGACAAATCAATATTATCTGCTGCTTAATGCCTGTTCCATTCACCAAAAATCAGAACAATTGTGATGAAATATCTTAAAATAACTGTTTGCAACCTAGAAATATTGTTGGCAAAGTATTTATTTAGAGGTAGCATATTAAGACACAGTAAACTTTAAAACGAAGTAACCTTTTTTACCTTTAAATATTTGGGAGTCGATTTGATAGCTCGTTGTGTTGTTAGGTGTAAAAAAAAATTGCAAGTATGACTGTTTCTCGTGAAAGTACATTGTAGTACTTAATTACAACTTACTGAGTACTTCATTGCAGATTGATTTATTGTAGATTTCTCATTGCAGGGAGTTCAGATGATAAAAACATTGTATGAATTCACACAGGTGGAAGTAAAAGTTAAGCCAAGTATTTAAGATAATGCTTTATTTTATTATACAAGTTCTACTTTTAATCAACTCTAGACCTAAACCACGTTCAGTCTTTTTCTATCACACTTAACACGAATAACTTGAGATGTAAATACGAAGGCAGACGTTCTCACTTAAAATGCCACACTTGATGAGTCAAGAGAAAGCACACTGTTAGTACGAGTGTAGTTTTGTCATGAAAATCCAAAATCTCTCATTGTCTCAGGATTCAGTCTTTGCAGGAGATAACAAACTGAAGAAGGGTCCTGCAGTTTTATGAAACAAATGGGCGCATCCCGTTTCTGTTCAGTTGCCTCCTCGAATTCTCAACTCCTCAATTCCTCAGCTGTCAATCACGCCCACTGAGGAATGATTCAGTGGAGCTCAAAAATGGATGGAGATATCTGGTTCAGAACTGAAATTCTCATGTATTTTTTTTTTCCATAAATATGACATTTTAATATTAAAAGTTTAAAAGCAGTTTTGTGGTAACGAATTTCCAAAAGATAATTTACTTTAAATCAAACAAATATATTGAGAATATCCAGATATAGCAAAAAATATCTGAAAATATGGTCAAGAATCTCCTGATTAGCCTACAGGAAACTTTCAACACTAATTTTCAAAAAGTCTATGAAAACAAATCCTGTCTATTTCTGTTGTTCTTTTTTATGACCATGATTGACTGTTAAAAAAGGATTTGAGGTTTTGAGGTCTGAAGAGGCAAGGAAACAGAAATGGGAGGCACCCCAATAAGTCCAAACCAGCCTGTCTACACTTCCTGCTCCTCTCTGATTGGTCGGAAATCGAACATGTGACCAGAAGTGGTTTGGACTTGAACACTTTCAGAGCCCACTGCACATCGCCCTCGACCGGTTATGCAAGGTATTACTCCTTTACTGTCTGTACATAAAATGGATGACTTATGTTTTTTATAGAAATATTATATATAAATATATATATTGGAAATATCTATGGAAAATGATATACTATTGCTGTATGAACCCTGATGCCCTGTATTGATAGTGACTGTTCTTCTCTCTTGCTTTCTCTGACTGTGTCTTTGCTGTGGTGTTAAATGGTGGGAGGACTCTTCACAGGTTCATGGGTCCAATTTGAGACTTTCTTCTCCTCTTTGCCTCTGAATCTCTCTATCTCTTTCTTCTCTTTCTTCCTGTTTTAACACTATGTAGCCATTACCTCTCCTTCTCTCTGCCTCTCACGCCTTCTGTACCAAACATAGACCGCAGAGGAATAGTGCGCTGGACAAAAAGCTGTTAGAATATTTTATGAATTATATATATATTGGTTTTCTGTGATCTCAGATGCCCTGGGACCGAATGACAGAAGTGTGGCTCCCAAGTTGCACCTACGGCCTTTCCAACCAACAGTCAGTTTTTCACTCACACATTACACCCTTACATAGGCACGGTGGTTGAAGTGTCTTGCCCAGGAGCACTATGTTAAAAATGTATGTAATTTTATCTGTAGATTAAGAACCAATTCTCATCTATGACCTGGCCAATAGTGATAAATGCATTGAAATTCCTCTGCTATAAAAAGAGAGAATTTGGGTATAGGTCAGTTATAATTAGCTTTAACTGATCTAAATATTAAAGAGTAGATAAATATAAAATATATATTTAAAAAAACAGCATTTTGTGTATACTCTTGGATATCAATATATTGGTATTTATAAATCAAACCACCCCTCACTACTGACCAAGTGGCAGTAACTGAACTTATGTAGATTCTGCATAGTTTTATAGAGTGAAAAACCTTCCTCCTGGTTCATAAACTCAAACTAAAACTTCCGTGCTCCACTGTCCCTCTGCTGTCTATGGTACCACACTATGTAGCCTATAGTTCTAGTGAGAATCCTTTAATCTGAAGTGTGTCTGCGTGAATGAAAACGCACAAAGAATATTCCAGAAAGTTGTGCGTCGTTAGAACAAACCCCAGCCATGTGACTTTTTTATTTTTCAACTGTGAATGAATCGTGTGAACACTGTAGCTCCGCCGACCTCCTCCTCTCAAACAACTGTAAACTGCTGCTCAACTTCAGCCAATGAAATCACTGCTCACAGAGACGGGCGGACATTTTGTATAGGTTCTTGTCACTTCCTGTTTGGACGGTTGCTATGGAGATCTTTCAGCGCGCGGCGTGTTTGATCAAGGCTGCTTTCAAATTCACTCTAGTGACTACGAGCCTAAAATTTTCTAAATCACTTTTCAGTACTAAGAGACATTTTAATTCATTTCCAACACAAAATGATAGGCCAACTTTCTTTTTTATACCTTGTGGTCTTATAGTTGTAATTCTTCAAGATGATTCAGAGAAATGAATATCTAGTTTTGATTTTTAGTACCGAGAAGTATCTTTCAATACTTTTGATGACGCTTTAGTCCTAACATTGTGGTTTTAGGTTAAAAGTTAATCCGAAGTGACTAATAACTGAAAACAAATCCATTTAAAGTTCTGTAAAGCATATTTCCAATTAATAATATAAGTGACAAAACGTTGATCTAATATCACCAAAATCTACCGTTTTCTATTTAAAAGTCATCTCACAACCCTGATCTTTGTGCTTTATAAGACATTCAGAATCTCAATGAAGATTTAGTCAAATGATTAAAAAAATAAATAAAAAAGCTCTAAAAATAGTGAATTTCTGCCACAAGAAAGCCAGTGTAAATTGTCTGAACATACCGACGCCTCTGGTTTAAGAATATAGGCTTTCAGTATTTAGTCTACTATGTTGTGAGAGAATTTGGACGCAGCCTTGAAGATCGTTGGGCATGTCTCAACTTGCCCGGTCACTTTTAATCCACTGTCATGGAGCTCTTGGATGGACATAAATGGACTGCTTCCTGTCACTTCCCGAAGAGCAGATCACAGCATTACGAACTAGTGAAGTGCTGGATGGGTGTACACAAGTTTGATTTTATTTTCTTATTTTTGTTATTTTTTTTAAAGTGTCTAAAAGGTGTAATGTGCTATGTGGCAGCTATGAGTACCGTGTCTTTATTCCAGGTGTGAAACAAACTGCTGACAAATCAAGATTTTATTATTTGGCTATTTAAAAAGAAGTGTACTGTATTTATGACACTATATCAACATAAGTAAAGCTGTTTTATAAATAACTGGGCTTATGTTTTCTATATCTCTTTTAAGGGCCCATATTACGCTATTTTCTGATCTGTGTTATGATGTTTCCTTATCAAAAACACACTGTACCTGCGGTGGAGTTTTGTTTCATTCACACATGTTTAACACACAAACCCTGCTTATTTTTATTAGGTTTAGTTCTTCTCTTAAACAGAAAACACTGTCCCACTTTGTGATGCCATACATCAAGTGCTCCACTGTGTTTTTAAACTCCATACACCTTCACTGGACTCATTTGGAGGTAAAAGGAGCTGTTAACTTGAAAACGACCGCTTCATAACATCACAAGCTGGAATCGAGCATTTTCAGCTTGAGCTATAGACTCATAGCCAGACTGGCGCAACCTAGTCCCTCGACTCAATTTCATTTCTCTCCAGCAACTAGGTCAGGAATCAAAATACACTAGACGGTTCGCAAAAACCCCGCAAGTGCAAGTTCAGGCACCAGCCAATCAGCGAAGAGCCATACATTTTGTGTTGGCAACGATTCCTGAGATCGAGGATTTAAAGCCGGAACAAAGAGAATGTTTGGTGAATTTCATCAAGGGGAAAGACGTTCTTGCCCTTCTTCCTAAAGGGATTTGGGAAAATCTTAATATACCATTAGCCCCATTAGTGGCACATTACATACATCGCGATCAAATAGCAGTGATTGGTTGAATGATAAAAAGTACCCTCCTACTGTCGAGCGAACAAATTCTAACACTGCGAGGTCAGACGTTTTTTTTTAGTGAAACTGGCTGATGAATCAGGCTAATAGACTCATGCGTGAATGGAACAAAACACAACCACCAGGTATGTTTTTAATGAGTTAATAAAATTAGAAAATGGCTCAAAGCTCACAGGAGTCAATTTTGTGTAATATAGGGCCTTTAATCTATTTTAGTAAGCAAACTTGGATCATAACTACACTACACACTACTGTCTTCTATACGCCATCAAGAAGTTAACTGGAGGAAATTAGAGCTGCAATGTTCTGCCAAACATCTAAATTGCTTTTTTTTTTTCAACCAAATTTATCATTAGACACAATGATGATGAATAATTGACTAAATATAAAACTAGGACATTTTAATTAACAAAATAAAACTGAGATATTTTCAATAGGCAACCTCAGTTTTAAGCACATGCGATCCACATAGAGAAATGGTGTAATATTTTGTAAAGAGCAATTAAAGGTGCACTGTGCAACTTTTCTGATGAAGGGCCACCACCTGCTTCTTTCCACTGACATATTATTGCTTTCTTGGAATGTTCCACAGAGCCCCATTAAACATATCTATCTCCATGGAGACAAACTGGTGATGCCACAAGCCACTTACATTTCAAGTAAAGTTTACAAGTTTACTGTCATTCTGTGGAACATTCCAAGCAAAGTAAGAAATATAAAAGTTACTTAGTGCACCTTTAATTATTTACCCTAGTAGAGATTGTATGTTTTTGTTTGTAAAGTTATATTGCGTTTTATATTTGGTGTATCAGCAAAGGCAAAATTGGAATATCAACATTATATTACATTATGTACATGATTAGGGCACACGTTAAACTTTCAAAAAGAATTTTCCAATATTGACCAAATTTGTTCTTGTGAACAGTTAAAGCCAATTCTATCATTGAAATCTTTCGCCAATTTCTACCTCACCAGTGTATAGTAAGTATAAATGCAATACAGTTCATAGTTAAATATAAAATGCATTCCCGTCAAACCACTAGAAACAAGGCAATTTAATTTATCGAAAATGGTCTTTATTTATTTCAAGATCAGAAAATATCATTTCAACAATTCAACATCTACAAAGACACAACAATCTTAGATATAAAAGTCAAAAATAATTTAACAAAACTTAAAAAATAAACTGGCACAAACCACTCTGTAGAAAAGGGAACGTATTTACATCACTATAATAATAATAATTACCAGTTTTAAATTAAGCAGGTCTTGGTCAAAACTGCCATGGTACACATAATATATTATTGGCCCCAGAAATAAAACTCATGAATTATTTTAAGCATAAAATAAAAACACACGGAAAAAAGGAAAGATTTGGGAAAAAGGAAAAATTAAGAAAAAAATCTCCAATGTGGGTTCAAGAGAATCCACTCTCTCCAGGAACTATTCATGCAACGTCCTTGGATTTTGACTTTGACTGGACCACAGAATTAGGTAGGAAATAGGAAAGAGGATCACGCCACATTCATGTTCTCTATGGAAAGTCGGGAAATAAACCAGGAATCTGCATTAAAACTTGACAAAAAGTCTACATGTTACTGATTAGTTATTGTCTTTTAGCATCGCAATTGTCCACAAAGTATAGAAAGTCATTTTGATTTTAAAATGTGCTAATTGTAGGGACATGTCTCGGGTGCCAAGTATAGCAAAGACCACCACAGCTGAGACCCTATTTCAGTAGAATTTTACCAAATCAAAACAAATATGAGGAATAAATAAGCTTAAACTATTTAATTTTCAATAATTGTGAATGTTAATGTTGGATTCTCAATTTCCTTTTTGAAGAATTACTGACTTAACTTGCAGCGGTCCCACCCTTACGTCACCCGGTACAAAAATACTCTGGACACGCCCCTGGCTAAATACAGTTTTAACCTTAAAAAGCAGTTTTGCTGGCTAAGCTACACTGTCAATTCATTGCATTTCTATTATTAGCTGAAAGGCGCTAACAACAAACTAACGGGAGCACCTTGGTGAGGACAAAAGCTACAGTTCGTTCAAAATATTATGATTAAATGTGTTTTAAAATTAGGTTTAGGAAGTTAAGAAGTACTGGAAGTTATGGAAGTTTAATTTGTTGTCATCATCAATTCAGGACTATGGAGCATTTGGTGAGTACAAGAATGTGGCATAGAAAGTTGTGAAAAGTACAATCGGAATTTATGTTTTATCATTTCTGTCAGACCACTGAGCAGCTAATACTCTAGCATCATAATTTAAACCTCAATAATAACTTAATAATTTAATATTTTGCATCAAATTGTTTAAATAAATAAATTAGCCCTGTTAAAAGTGTGGTGTTGGTTTAGCTGGCTGCCCGTGGCCTGGTCGTCTCGGTTGGAGGCTCTATTTGGGAATGTCACCGAAAGCCACCGAGCCGTCAGCCCCAGAGATGCCCTCGACGATGGAGGAGAGCGCACGCATGTTCCCCTGGTCTGGAGAGTCCGCCGCACTCAGAAGATCTAGAGGGGAAAAGAAGGACCATAAATACTTGGAGGAAATGGTTGGAAACAGTTAAGTAAGTAGCCTACTCAAAGTCTTGTTACCAAGAACAGTCCTAACTCACTAGTACCTAATAAAGTAATGCTTCATTCAAGAGCTGAGTCCAGTAATTACAATGTTTACTGGTACTGGTGTCAAAAGTACAAAATCAGTGGAGCTCTCATCAACAAATTTTAAATTTGGAAGATTGATTCCCCCCCACATTGTTGCTGTGTCCTTACGCAAGACACTTGCCTGTATGAATGTGTTGTGTGCATGAGTGACTGGTAATTGTTGGAGGAGCCAGTAGCAGAGTGTAATGAGCATCACCGTACCACTGCACTGCAATTGATAATGCATGCAGGAACTGAACCACCAACCTTCAGCTTACATTATAGCTGTTCAGTACTGCTACGACTGGCTGAAACTGTGTGCAAAACTAAAACTGTAAAAATGTTGCTGAATCGTATATGTTGATATGCTAATGTGTCTGTGCTCTATTATGCTAACAGTGATAAAGCCTGCACATGTCTGACCTTCGCTGCTGTAGCTCTGGCACTGCTCCGGGGTGCTGCTCCACTCGGGGCTGCTGCAGCACGTGCTCCCAGAGCTGGGCTCGCTCGAGGAGGACACCTGTTCACACCAGACGGACGGAGACAAGAGGAGACAGGAGGCACGGTCAGAACACCGAGGAAATACCACAACACACTGAAATAACACTACTACTACTACTACTATTACTCTGCTGCTGCTGCTACTACTACTACTACTACTACTACTACTACTACTACTACTACTACTACTACTACTACTACTACTACTATGACTATCATTGGAGGACTTGTACTATTAATACTACTACTAGTAGTACTGTTTTTCATATTAAAAGTCAGTCTTTAAAGATATTTATGATTAAATTGTCTTAAATGATTCTCTTTCATCCCAACAGACTTTTCTGTGTAAAATGTTATCAAAATAGATACAAATCTCAGGACCCTGTCACAGGCCAAATCAGAACCCCTAGAGGGCCAGACTTGGCCCGGGGGCCCCACTTTGGGCACCCCTATTCTAGACAGTGTAAACAAACATTACCACACACAAACACATTTGGATGCTGTTACTGCTACTAATCTTATACCAAGTACTACTACTACAATTAAAGTTAAGAACATTTCTGGTCAGATTTTCTCCCATTTTACAATCTATCACATTTAGAACAGGACTTAAAATAGACTACCACGAACACTACAAGAACATGATAAAAATAAATCAAACTGTTGAAGGGTTGAAAACTAGTAAGCACTTGTAATTTCTTAGAATAGGTCTAAACCATAATTGATCGACCTCATCACCCCACAAGTGTTAAACCATTTTCCATTCAACTAAATATAACTCACATTCTTCCACTGCCATCTCTTCCATTGTGGCTTTTGGCTGCATCCCTGTTGCATTGTATAATAAGTCACCTTGCCACCTTGTATCCTACTTCCTATGTCCTTATTCCTTTGTCCTACTCACTAGAGAAACAAACTGAATTCATTTTATTAATTTACTGAACTTTTTACAGAAAGTAAGCTTTCTGGTATTTTGAACCATATTAATCTACTACTGTCCTGCTCACAGGTTGCATCCAAATTCTGAAAAAGTCACCTTATTCTATGGATTCTGGAGTTATATTTCCTACATCCATCCATTATATTTTTGTCTCCCAACATTTTAAACATTACATAAAAGTTGCCTTGCCTTCTTGGATCCTTATATCCTGAAGCCCTACATTCTGGGCTGTATCCAGATTGTATACATACGAGTCACTTTGTTTTATTGGATCCTTGTTTTCTATATCCTTTTACTTCTTAGATTGCTATTTCCTAAGTCATATATTGTTTTTAGGCTGCATCCAAATCATATATAGAAAGGGACTTTTCCTTCTTGTGTCCTTACATCATTTGTGCTCTTACCTAAATTCTTATTATTCTGAGTCCTATAGTCAGAGCTGCAAAGGAACTGTATAAAAGTCAAATTTCCTAATTGGATCCTTAAAAGTCCTACACTTACTCTAGGCTGCATCCAAATTCATATTGCCTCCTTGGATACATAAAGCATGTGTCCTGTTTCATAAGACCTGTGTTATTTTTTTTCCTAAGTCACACACTCACCCTGAGCCGTATCCATATTGTATACAAATTCAGTTTCCTCACTGGACCCTTATATGTCTGATTTCCTTAGCCTTATACTCACTCGAGGCTGCATCCAAATTGTGTACAAGTCAAATTTCCTTAATGGATTCTTATATGTGCTATCTTCTAGTCTCATACTCACTCGGGGCTGTGCTTGACTTTGCCTGTAGTGTATTCCTTGCTGTCCCGCCTCATTCTCTTGTTGATTGAGGGACGACACCAGCGCCTGCAGTCTCTCGATGTACTGGATGGCACTTCTCAAAATCTCCACTTTGGGCAGCCTCTGGTTCGGGTTCATCAGCGTACTCCTCTTCAAAGCATCGAAAGCCTCATTCACTTTCTTCAAGCGCCGTTTTTCTCTCAAAGTGGCCGCTCGACGTCTATCCATGGTGACGGTTTTCCTCTTACAAAGCTTACAGGCCCAGGGAAGGCATTGTCCCGGGCAGTGGGGTGTGTTGCTGTCAGAGTGAGGGGACAAGCTGCTGTTCGGAGATGGCTTGTCCTCCACGACTTGGGGCACCCCCGTCGGACCGCACAAGCCCATCATGGTGCTCCGATCCTGGAAGCCGGTTTGGTCGAAGCCCCCTGGAAGAAGGGCGGATGTCAGTATTGATTCAAAACTGATTAAAAGTTTCGCTGTATAAATACACTTTTAGATTTTCTTGGGGTAATTTCAATATATAATTTTCCAAATGTTTTATTATAATTTATAAGGACTCCAGACTTTTTTTAAAAAATTACCTTTATTTAAAACCTTAAGAACAAATTCTTATTTACAATGCTGGCCTGTAAATCAGTAATAACATGGATTTGTCAATTTCACAAAAAGCAGCAAAATTCAAGGAAAATCTAATTGAAATCCCAACAATATAAAATCTACACAAAATCATAACATTGACCATTTCTAATAATTACCTGACTAGCTTTAAAACATTCAAGTTTTCTTTTTTTTTTTTGCCAAATGACAAAGTAAGTAATTTTGAATTTAAAATGTTTCCAAGTTTGTCCAGTATAATTAAATTTCTCACAATAAACACCCCATGCCTACCTGGAAGTCTGGACTGGTAGAAGTTATCATTCCCTTCATAAAATCGCTGATCGGGGAAAAAATACGGATTGGTCTCGAAAAGCTCCATAATTGTCAAAGTTTGTCTTGAGAAATAGTGAAATAATTTTCTTGAAAAGCTGAAGCTAGAGCAGCGCTATAAGTTCCCTTATGTTGTGAAGTGGAGGGACGCTAGCAGAACAACTGGTCCTGGATGGTTTGGACTGGCATTTAAACCCCGAGGATCATGGGGTTAAAATTAGCCTGAGTTTTTGAAGAAACCTGAGCTAGCGTTTAGCTGTTGTGGCTCATCTACACACTTCACTGCATGGACCTTTTTTACGGCTGCTGCTGCCACTGTGGGTGTCAGTCAATACGATTACATGGAGAGCTTAGACGCACAGTGGACACTGGACTATTAAGATGTTGAACTACACTTCTTTGGGTTTATATGGACAATACACCTATAAACTAGTGGGACTTAGTCATTCATTTGGTGTTTTTCAGATTGTGATGATGTCATACACAGATTTTCTGATAACATTGTACTTTACCATGTAATGTTGAATCTGACCATTTCTATGATTGACTAACCCCTAAAACTCACTGTATTACAAATGTCCTATATTATACAAAACTGACTCTTGTGAACTTTAAGCCATGTGATTATGCTGTTACCTCCTCAAAAACATACCTGGAGTTGTGTTTTGTTTCATTCACACATCTTTGAGGAACTTTTTATTATTAGTCTATCTACATCTCCAAGAATGTTCTGTTCCACCTTGTGATGTAATGTATAATTTTCAAGTTAACAGTTCTTTTTACATTTAGTTCAGTAGAGATTGGCAATTTCAGGGCTGAAATCATCCAAATGATTCTAGTGAAGGTGTATGGAGTTTCAAAACACAGTGGAACAGTTCCTATATTACCACATGACATCCTAAGATGGAAAAGAGTGTTTTCCGTTTGAGAGAAGAACTCAGTCTAAATATGCAGGTTTGTGTGTTAAACATGTGTGAATGAAAAAAAACCACAACTCCAGGTCTGTTTGTGACATGGAAACAACGTTATCAGATTGTGTAGTATGGGTCCTTTAAATATGATTGGCTTATTCATAGGTTTCAGAATAATGAAAGGTTATGACTGTAGCCTTCACAATTCAAAGATTTTGAATGGTCAACTGTCTTCAAAATGGCATCATACAACAGGAAGCTAAAACTCACACTCATAGAATGTTGTGATGTCATCTAAAGCAATAGGTTGCATATAATTATAAGTCATTATAGGGATATTAAACAAGAAGGTATTCCAAATAAGGCTAAAAACAGTAGCTGCTAGCACTTTATGACATCAGCAGGTGGAATAGAGTATTTTGAGCGCTTGGACAGAGATAAGCAGATGATGCCATCAGGCGTAGTTGTAAGTAATATCCATGGAGATGTAACCCGCCCTCATTTTTATTTTAATGGAAATCCAATAAATTTTTAAATGTAATAATGCCCATGCAATTAATCACATTATCCAGGCGTACAACTTCAACTACTTAAAATACCATCTCCCTGATCAGAACAAGTAATTTACATAATACTAATGCCACTTACATTCTAAATCAATAGTTTCTCTTTGCTGTATGTGGACTATGTGTGTCATGTCCGTGTGTACTTCCCCCGTGTTTCTGTTGCTGTGGAAGAGAATCCAGGATCAAACAAGCCTGACTTAATGAGCTAATCCAGGCCTGTGTCTCTATGACTCTACACTGCAAAAAGATATGAGCCCGTTCAAATTACTAGAAGTCAGAATATAGTATGGGAGATTTTTAAAATACATTTTCATATAGATTAATACAGTTATAACCATTTTTTGCTGATTTTAAAATATTATGTGATCATTCAAAATATTGATGGTATATTTCTAGTGTTGAGTACATTTTTTAGCATCTTAAACCACCTCTCATTTAAAAATCAAATATCTTTCAACCAGTAAATCTATTCTAGTTAGAACTACTTAGATGAAGTTTTTTTTTTTTCAGTCAAGTTCAAGTCTTCTTAACTCATATATTCTGTATTTCTTTTTTGTAGTGTCCATGGAGTCCATTGGTTTTGGGGGAGATGGGGAGGTACTAGGGGGTAAGTGGGGGGCAGACAGCTGTCACTTCACCAGGAGCCCGTCAGTGCAATGGCAAGAAGTTGTTTGGGCCCTGCCTCTTCATAAAGCAGGCCAACGATGGTTGCTACGTCTAAAGTAGGTCACATAACACTATACTGGATTTCAAACTAGTGCCCAACAAGTAATATCATTTCCGTATTTACTCATGGATTCCCTGTGATAACCCAATATGAAAGTACTTAACCTACATCTGATAACTATAAATACCTAAAGCTGAGTCAAACCAAGGCCAGTGTGGTTCATGGGGAAATTCTCCATGCACTGGAGAGGCAGATTTCTCTAGGCACAGCTGCCCTGTGGCAGACTGATGGAAGCATGGCTGCCAATCCGTGACTACAGCTCCTCTGACCACTGCCAGTTTCTAAAACATGATGGGGCATGGTGGCTCAGGGGCTAGCACTTATGCTTCACAGCAAGAATGTTTTGGTTTTGATCCTCAGGGCTGTGCAAAGTTTGTGTGCTCTCCCTGTGTCTGGGTGGCTTTCCTCTGGGCACTCCGGTTTCCCCCATCAACCCAAAACAAGCACTATGAAATCGATTAAATCCTCCTGTTAATGCAGTTCTGACCAAGACTTGCTCAAAATCTGGAGATGGGTCCCCTAGCCCTGCACTGTGGCGCACACTGCTTCTGACAGGTTCCACCAGCAGCTTTAAAAGATGGGTCTAATGCAGAGGACCAATTTCACTATGGGAACAATACCAAGTGTACTTTATACTCTGGCCAAGTCAGTGAACCAAACCCATTGAAGTGGCTTTGGGTTTGTGTTCCAATCGTCTAAGTGTATACTGTCATTTGTGTCTCTGAACTCATCTCATCCATCGTCTCATCCCATTTTCTCAGTACTCATTTACTCTGCAGTCACACTCTACTTCTGTAGCCACAAATGTCAAGCAGACAGATAGAAGCGTCCAATATGGACCAAAAGACAAATCACACACACACATCAGGCCTGGCTAGAAGAACACCTTCTGATTATACTGTAAGTAATTTCTTTTTGTTTAGCTTTATGTACATTTTGACTTGTTCCAGTATAAAACATGGTTAAATAGTGACTTAATTATTGTGTAATGCATGTTTAGATATTTACGCCCTCACCCAGCGACGTGCCCAAACAAAATGTGAAACATGTGGGAGGAAGTCCCCTGTAGTTGGCGCTGGCTCCTGTTACGGTGCAATCAGAATCTAAACCAGAATATTCCAGTCATCTAAACTCCGCCCTGACCTTTCAGAGCCCAGTGGTGAATTAGCCTTAGCCACAGCGCTAATCTTTCCACAACACATCGCACAAATAGATGAGAGCCTAATTCAGACTGGCTTCCGTTAGCTGTAAATATGGACTCAAGGACTAAGAAGAATTCAATAAGTGTTAAACCAGGTCTCAAATAGAAACAGTTCTACAATTAAACTTCTTCTGAACTAAACCTTCTCCAAAATAGGACTAAATCAGGAATAAAATAGGACATAAAAATGGCACTGTTCTAGGACTAAAACTAGAACTAAACCTGGACTAGAACAGGACCAAATCAAGGCATCAGGACTAAACTGGGCCAAAGTCCAAAACCAAACCAAGTCCAGTGTGAACACGCCCTACGTCTAAACTAGATCTTACAGAACTAAACCAAGCTTTTACTCAGACTAGTCCAGTGTTGAACCAAGAATAAATCCTGAACCTAAAGCAGGATTAAGTAAAATATAAAATGGGGATTAAATTAAACAAAACCTGGCCTACACCAGATTGTTAGCACACTCAGTTGAGTTCTACACATCACACATTAGAAATGTGTGAACTGGCAAATATCAGAAGAATTCATTTTACCAAGTTCAGGAGTAAACCAGAACCAAATCAAGAAATAAGTCTAACCCTAACCTATTAAACCAGATTTAAATAGACTAAACCAGGATGAAACCTGGACTATGTCAGAAGCACACAGAGTCTAACCCAGAGCACTAACTATCTTAGCCTTGGATATATTTCACAGTTAGATCAGAGGCTAATTCAGATGGGCTGCTGTTAGCGCTGAGCCAAAGTACATAGTTGCATTTGATCCAACATAACTTCAGTCTCAAATGAGTCTGATTCACACGATGCTCATAACAAAACACCTCTGAAGTGGTTTCGCTGTATCTTTGGACTGTATGATTTAAATAAACAGGTCTTCCATGTTTTTAAAGTCCATTATACATAATTGTCACAGGTCACAGGGGCAGTCTGTCAGGACCAGGGGACCCATCTCCAGATCTTGAGCTCCTCTTGTTCAGGACTGCCTTAGCTGGTGGATTTGACCTATTGTGCATGTTATGGGATGATGGGGGAAACCGCAGTGCCCAGAGGAACAAGGAGAAACATGCAAACTCCACACACAAAGACCCAGGAGTCAGACCCAGAACCTTACTGCTACTGTTTACTGAACCTTAAAGCTAGCAACTCAGCCTCTGTACCACTTTGCTAAATTTGCAGCCTTGTGATGCCTTTGGGGTCAATCATAACATTGTCTGCTATAACAGAAGTTTAAAGGCCATGCATGAAGTATGTATTTTGTTACGAGTTATGACCTTATGCAGATCCTGTCAGCACTGTCTGAAACAAGGCGCCAAAGCAATTATTTAGAAAACTACATAATCTTGGCTCTGGATTAAAGCTTTGAGCGGGGTCCTGTGGAGAGGGGGTCTGGAGGGTCTGGGGGCAGTTCTGTCGTGTGGTTCGTGATGGATGGACACGAATGGCAGGACTCGACACAATAGCCCCAGTGTAGTCCTGAGGAGGCTCTGAGGTCCAGAGAGAGGGGAGGGGGTCTACACAGGCTTCTGTGCCAGTCACTCACTCGGGGTCATCTGAGCCCGTTATCACCACTAATGTATACAAATATGATTATTACTCACTTCATGTTATTGTCATATTAAACATGCATTTTGCCTCCAAGAAAAAAATAAATAAGTGACAGATTACATTTGTATATTTTGTAAAACAAGACCTAAAATGTGTTGGTATAAGTTAGTAGGACACATTTTATCAGATACAAAATGATTTCTGGAGTGAAAATGTCTGGATTTGATGAATGTGTGATTATACAGACTAAAATAAAAAAGGAACTAGTCATGAATGTCCCTGGTTTTAATGCAGCAATATTTGTACTGGCATTATTGTTATTATTATTATTTTTTTTTTTCTATTGGAACATGAAGCAGTGTG